TGGTTGTGGGCAACCGACTGGCCTACCATGATCTCAGTGTCCAAATATGCCCATGCTTCAAAAAACCATCGAAAACCATGGATAAAACCCATCAAAACCATAGAAAACCATAGAAACCATGCTTCAACCATCCTTGACTTGTATGGTTGTGTCCTAAAGCTTCGAAAAAGCCTTGGTTGCCCACTGCTTGCAGCCTACTGTATCCTGCTGTCACTCTAAAGCAAATGTCAGTGGACTCTGTCATCTGCTGATGGCAAAAAGGCTTCTCAAAATGAGGATCCTCATTATCATCATTGGTTTCTCCGGAAATGACCAATAATGTACATACCGGATTAATAAAGCCTGGTTGATCAAGTGGATGGTACTTCCCAAGTAAACAGCCCAGGGGGAATTTGGCCGTGGTTGGCCTCAACTTGGACAACTGGACCCACACATGAATTGAGAAACCCGGTTGAAATTAGTCGAAATGGCCACAGAGCGTCCTCTTGTGTGTTGACACGAGAATCCACATGCGAAAAACCAATGAATTTGAAAAAAATGTGAGCCAGGCAGTCAGTCACTCAGGCAGGCAGGCAGGCAGGAGTATAATTATAGTTACCATCTGGTAATTTAACATAGCTATTGAAAATGGCACATTTATAGTTTATTTACCTATTAAAGATTGTTATTTTCCATAGCTATGTTAGTTTACCAGAGGGGACCTGTCAACAATTGAGTTGTATCGTGCGTACGTCTGTGTGATTCTGTGTGTGTGTGCATGGTCTCTAGGATCCCCCTATGTGACGACCAGGCTATAAGCCCAGAAGGCCCTGAATTTCTTCCTCCAGTTGAGGAATGTTCAAAAGCCGGAAAGTCATTCCATTATACTGGCTAGTTAAGGATTTCCAGAATGGAGCGCGATAATCCCCCATTTTTTCAAGGGTATTTACTATTATCCCTGAAGTAATCATCAACGCAATTTTTGGTATCCACTGCCCAGTGCGATTCAAACTCTAGAACCACAAAAAGCCACTGGATGATTCATGCAACATACAGCCATGTTATTAAAAGAAGACCTCCTAAAAGCTTGCAGATGCACCTTCTGAGAATCCTGAAGAGGGCAACTCTGGGGACAGGAAAAGATATGGCTGTGCCGCACACTGCACACATTCGATATCTTTCAAACATTGCACGCCAAAAGCCTCACAATTGGCTGATGCCATTTGGGTAAACGATTGCAGCAGGCTCGGGACTTTAGACTCCACTGCGCGAGGCAATGGGAGTGCCTGGGGGCAATTTGGGAGGTTGAAAATAAGAAAAACAGAACCTGAAGATTTAGGGACGATAACATGATATCATTAAGATCATCATGAATGAATTGTTTCAATTCAAAACCTAAAGGGGAAAGCAATCTGCACCACAACATCCAAATCAAATCTTGCCCAATGTTGCCCCCATCCTAGAACTCATAAGCTCGATTGATTGGCATTCTCCTCAGGTGGACCACTTCCTCCACTTCGTTCACCTTCGCTGAGAAAAGGGTGCGTCGATTGGGCCCACAGCGTCCTCACAAAGATCGATGATTGGTTGGTCTTGTTGGTCTGGGGCTGCACCCTGATGCCCGGCAGGGGCAACCGGTGGGGCTCCAATCTGATAGGCGGCAGGGGCAGCACCCTGATGATGCCCGGTAGGGGCAACCGGTGGGGCTCCAATCTGATGCCCGGCATGGGCAACCGGTGGGGCTCCAATCTGATGCCCGGCAGGGGCATCAGGTGGGGCTCCAATCTGATGCCCGGCATGGGCAACCGGTGGGGCTCCAATCTGATGCCCGGCAGGGGCATCAGGTGGGGCTCCAATCTGATGGGCGGCAGGGGCAACGCGTGGAACGGTACCACGACGGCGTGCACCCTGATGATGCCCGGCAGGGGCATCAGGTGGGGCTCCAATCTGATGGGCGGCAGGGGCAACGCGTGGAACGGTACCACGACGGCGTGCACCCTGATGATGCCCGGCAGGGGCATCAGGTGGGGCTCCAATCTGATGGGCGGCAGGGGCAACGCGTGGAACGGTACCACGACGGCGTGCACCCTGATGATGCCCGGCAGGGGCAACCGGTGGGGCTCCAATCTGATGGCCGGCAAGGGCAACGGGTGGGGCTCCAATCTGACGCCCGGCAGGGGCAAGCTGCGGGGCTGCACCACGGTGCGCACCACGCTGCCTTGCTATTCGGGGCTGTTGGTCCAGGAGATCACCATATTTGTCCATCAGCCCTTAATTTGGAAGGAAGTTCTATGCCGAGGGCATGAACGAAGCGAAAATCATCCATGACCTTGGAACACAAATTGGGCGCACCAACATGCACTAACTTTGAGCCAACAGGTCTGCTGATGTCTCCTGGTCTGACCATCCTTCTCAAAAAATCATGACGTGACAAGTTTCGATCGAAGTCGACACCGCAACACGACATGCAACACTCAAATCACATAAGTCATTGTGTTTGCACCATGTAGAAAAAGTTGAGATAGTAGAATTCTCTATTGAATCTATTGAATTCTATTGAATTCTACAGGATTGGATAATGATTATCATCAAATCAGCTGTCAACTGGGCCGCCTCGACCATAAAGGCGATGTAGTCGCCAGCCACAAACATCTGGCGCCACATTTTTTCACCCAGCCCGCAGGGGTGGATGACATTTCCCGCCACAATTTGAGATGGGTTTGTCTTAAAAAACAATGTGGGTTGGATCATGTTGGTTGCTCATTTGATTGGTGGTTTCTTCAAGTACCACCCAGTAAGCTGGTGTTTTTAACCCCTTTATAGATATATCGATCATAAGCATCCATAAACCATAGTAATTAAACCTAGTTAATGATGAGTTAGGAATAACCACCCGTTAGTAAAACCGATTTTCCCAAAACTTTGGGCAACACTAAGGTCAATTAGGTTGTTTTCCCCCCAATAGTGGTGCAACCCCCCAATTAGTAAAGCCGATCTCCCACCCCCAGATTTTTGGTGGTAGTACTAACTGAATATTCTTATACGCTTTCAGGGCTACTTATTGACCCTTTCTTAAGTATCTCATCCCTTCCTTGATTTCTTGAATTTTCTTGACATGTCTTGTCATTCTGGTGCTTATTTCTAATTCTCACTCAACCTGCTGATGCTGCTCCAAACTGATTCCAAACTAGTTTCATCAAATTTGACCCCTGATGGATGCTACTATGCAGCTGATTTCAACAGAATTGACCCTTCATGGATGCTCCCATGCACCTAATTCAAGCAGCGTTGATTCATCATGAAACAGTCTGAATCAGTGGAGGTTTATGAATTCGGGGTGTTAACCACTAACCACCCAAAAACAACTTACTTGTTGACCTTTTTCTGCTGGGGGTGATTTTTGTTCACCTACAGTGGCCATTACAAAGAAACCAGCTTGGTGGATGTCAGTGCTTGTTGGTGGCGAATAAATCCTTAATGAGCCGATGTTTGATGATGTTTGATGTTTCCAGCAATGAAAAAAACAACAACAAATGCCCGAAATCCACCAAACTGCTTGGAAAAACTTTGTGAATATTATGAGGGTCTTACAGTCTTTGCCATTGCCATACCCAAACAATTTAAGGGTGAAACCTGATCAAACAATTGCCATACCCAAACAATTGCCTTGGCACCTGGTCCCTGGCGGGTCAAATATCGTTTGTCACCTCCAGAGATCAAAACTTCTTGCAACCAATGAAACAGTAAACTTCAAACCACTCTTTTGCTTTCAGATTGATACTGAAAATTACTGTTTCAGTTTGATAATAACTGATCATAGTCACTCTCTACTGTTCCATTGATACTTTTGGTTTCAGATTCTACTTCCGACATCTTCTGACCACATGACTCTCTAGTGATCCCTGCATATCCCTGACAGACATGTTTGACCAAAGGCTCAATTATTGTTGGCACCCCCAAACCAGCCCATGAACAGTGGGCGCAAGTTGGTTGCCTGATTTGGGGAATTGTTGCCTCGCTGCGTCATTTTGAATCAGCATCAAATTTGCAGGTAACCCGGGTTCCCGGATTAAATACTCAGATTACGATTTGTATATCAAGCATTCTCGATCTATTTAAAGGCTTACGCCTGACAGCCGGGCGCCGGCCAAGCAACGACGTTTGGCTTATGGTGTGGGAAGATTGGGCCGAGATTCGCCGCGCAAACCCAGGGAGGGCTATGTTGAACTGAGGCAGGCATAATGCGCTTGCCTGTATGGAAGCAGTCTTGGCCTATGTTGAGCCAAGTCGGGCCCATGTGTTGGGCTCAGCTTGGGTCCTTGTCGAGCCTATGTTGGGCCCATGTTGGCTTATGTTGGGCCTATGTTGGCCCATGTTGAGCCCTCTTGGGAGCTATGTTGGGGCCAAGTTTGGGCCATCTATGTTGAAACGATCTTAAGATGCAATTTTTTCCGCCCCGGACCCCCTCCTGGAGCCCAAAACTACGTAAAAACCGATGTTTTTTAACATCGCCAAGATGAAATCCCTTGCCGCCGAAGGGCCCGAAACACCGTAAAAAAACGATGTTTTTGAACACCGCAAGCAAAATACACCGTAAATTACAGGGGCTCCAGTCGACACGGAGTGGTCTGTGGGTGAACCGGGATGGGTCTGCGGCAGGGGGTGCAGCACCTATAACCTTCGGTTACCACCGAAGGCCTCCGGCAACGGGCCCGTGGCCGGCGCCCGGATTCTTGAAGGGCCACAACAAATCAAATTGATTGCAATCGATTCCAGCCATGAAACCCTCCATTGTAGCAACCGCAACCCAAATGTTTGGGGGTTGAAATCACACTATTGTAACGCCACGATTGTCGCCTAAATCATCCAAACATTCAACCCGTACTGCTTCCAAGCGGGGGTCTTGCCAGGGTTAAGTTTAGATGACCTTGCACAAAACTATATTTCTGGTCGCATATAAGTATTGTCCACATAATCATACAACACATACATCATCTTTATGGCCAAATCATACAGCAAAACTACACTTTCACCACCCAAAGATCGCTGGAGAGTTTCCGCTCAACAACGCCAGCACCACAGCATTGGCGTCGCAGTGCCCGTGAGATGCGAATCACGCATCGTCGCAAGAGCAGAAGCACCTGCAACAATTCAGCTGGGAGCAACTTCCTTTTACCACCCATCCCGTAACAGTACTCTGGCTGGTGGTTTTAACATGTTTTAACCATCTTGAAAAATATTAGTCAATGGGAAGGATTATCCCACATATTATGGAAAATAAAAAATGTTTGAAACCACCAACCAACCATAATGGTAATGGTTTCGTTGACAATGGTTGATAGTGATTGATCATTATTGGTAAAATGATAATAGAACATGGTGGTGAATAATGGTTAATAGTGGTCAAGTATGGTAAATAATGCCTGACAATGGTTGACAATGGTTGACAATGGTTGAACTGGTTAAAAATGGTTAATCGTGATTGATACTGGTTGAGAATGGTCATCCTGGTCAAATGATGCTTGATAATGGTTGATAGCTATATGCCAATGGTATCCAATGGTTAATATCATCAGGATTAACACCCCTCAGTCAGGTCACCACCAATTGCACAAAAACACTTCTGCGTAGGGCGAATCTTGACCATCAACCACTAACCATGGAGGTTGGTTGAATGCCCATGATGATAAACTGATAAACTAGCCACAAGACGTCATGGGATTCAAGATTCTCACAATATTCATGTTTACTGCGTTGAATGTCTACATGCACAACCAATGATTTCATGCGGAGATATGCGGAGATAGAATTAGGGTTGATAATTACCCTTTATACTGGTGTTGTCGACCATGTAGGGCCACAGCGTAGAACCAGTTGGCTCATCGCCATCGCATGATGAATTGCAAGAAGGGTCAAATAGATAGCTAAGTTAACGTATCACTAGGCAAACTGAGATTTGTGGTAGCTACTTGGAAGGATTTACAAATCAAAACTTTCAACTGTGGGGCCACTGGGGGGGGGGGCCTTCTTGACGAAACCTATGAAACCTTCAGCCTTCTACCTTGAAAAGGTGCACTGACTGAAGGACGCATGTGATAAACGCACTTCTGCCAGAAATCATGTGATAAACCCGATCATAACCACATGCTTATCAACTAAGAGTGTGGTTGTTTTTAAACCCAAAATCTTGTGATTAATCCGAGAAGAGGCGCGCTACCGCCCACGGGACAACGGGACAACGGGACAGCGGGACAACGGGACACCGGGCCAACGGGACAACGGAACAACGGGACACCGGGCCAACGGGACAGCGGGACACCGGGCCAACGGGACACCGGGCCAACGGGACACCGGGCCAACGGGACGCCGGGAAACGGCCAAGCCAACCGGGAGAGCCAACGGGACAATGACCAAGAGCAGGAAAAACTCCAAGGGAAACACGCATGGGATCAACAAGCGCGCCAGCCAAGCAACAAAACTAGACGACGGATGGCCCGAGAGCGTAGAAGAGCATGTTACTCTGTTAAGTAGTATCAAAAACCTTGTAGTATCAAAGATGCGGATGATCAGCAGAAAGGAGATTGAAATGCCATGTCAGATTTTAAGCAGAAATAGGCCAAGATAGACACAAAATTTGAGAGACCGACAGAAACAGACAGCAAAGAAACACATACACACACAGACGCGCAAACAAAGACACAGACACAAACGCACACACACAAACACACACGGTACACAGACAGACACCACAAGCACACACACACAAACAGAACATAAAGAGGAAGACACATACACGCGCACACACACAGGCACAGACATACACGCACACAAAGACGAAGACTCACACACGCACACACACACACAGTCTCCGCTGCAGTGGCAGATGCTTTTACACACACAGACGTTTTTACACACAGAAGCATTTACACACAGACGCTTTACACACAGACGCCTTACACAAAAGCTTTTTACACACAGAAGCTTTTACACACAGAAGCATTTTACACATAGGCACTTTTACTCACAGAACCTTTTACACACAGAAGCTTTTTACACGCAGACGCTTTTGCACGCAGAAGCTTTTACGCACAGGAGCTTTTACGCAAAGAAGCTTTTGCACACAGAAGCTTTTACACACAGGAGCTTTTACACACAGACGCTTTTACACACACGAGTTATTCCACACAGACGCTTTTACACATAGAAGCTGTTACACACAGAAGCTTTTACACACAGAAGCATTTACACACAGGAGCTTTTACACTCAGAAACCTGTGCACACACACACACTTTTACACGCAGAAGCTTTTACACACAGAAGCTTTGACACACAGACGCTTTTACACACAGACACTTTTACACACAGAAGCTTTTTACACGCAGACACTTTTACACACAGAACCTTTTACACACAGAAGCTTTTTACACGCAGACGCTTTTGCACACAGAAGCTTTTACACACAAGAGCTTTTACACACAGCATCTTTTTACACACAGGCACCTTTTCACTTTACACACAGACACTTTTACCAAAAGAAGATTCTACATTCTACACACAGAAGCTTTTTCACACAGACGCTTTACACACAGGAGCTTTTACACACAGAAACTTCTACACGCAGAAGCTTTTACGCACAGAACCTGTTACACACAGAAGCTTTTACACACAGAAGGTTTTTACACGCAGACGCTTTTACACACAGACACTTTTACCCACAGAAGATTTTACACGCACAAGCTTTTACACACCGACGCTCTTACACGCAGAACATTTACACACAGAAGCTTTTTACACGCAGACACTTTCACACACAGACACTGTTACCCGTTACCCACAGAAGATTCTACACACAGAAGCTTTTACCCACAGAAGATTCTACACACAGACGCTTTTACACACAGAAGCTTGTACACACAGAAGCTTTTACACACAGATGCTTTTACACACAGAAGCTTTTTACGCACAGACACTTTTACACACAGACACTTTTACCCACAGAAGATTCAACACACAGAAGCTTTTACACACAGACGCTTTTACACACAGAAAAATTTACACACAGAAGCATTTACAGACAGAAGCTTTTACACACAGAAGCTTTTACACACAGAAGCTTTTACACACAGGAGCTTTTACACACAGAAGCTTTTACACACAGGAGCTTTTACACAGACGCTTTTACACACAGAAGCTTTTACACACAAGAGCTTTTACACACAGCATCTTTTTACACACAGGCACCTTTTCACTTTACACACAGACACTTTTACCCACAGAAGATTCTACTACACACAGAAGCTTTTACACAAAGACGCTTTTACACACAGAAGCTTTTACACACAGAAGCTTTTACACACAGAAGCTTTTTACACATAGGCACTTTTACACACAGAACCTTTTACACACAGAAGCTTTTTACACGCAGAAGCTTTTGCACACAGAAGCTTTTACGCACAGGAGCTTTTACGCAAAGAAACTTTTGCACACAGAAGCTTTTACACACAGGAGCTTTTACACACAGACGCTTTTACACACACACACAAGTTATTGCACACAGACGCCTTTACACACAGAAGCATTTTATTATACACACAGACGCTTTTACACAAAGACGCTTTTACACGCAGACCCTTTTACACACAGAAGCTTTTTACACACACAGAAGCTTTTACACACAGAAGCATTTACACACAGGAGCTTTTACACTCAGAAACCTGTGCACACACACACACTTTTACACGCAGAAGCTTTTACACACAGAAGCTTTGACACACAGACAGTTTTACACACAGACACTTTTACCCAAAGAAGATTCTACACGCACAAGCTTTTACACACCGACGCTCTTACACGCAGAACATTTACACACAGAAGCTTTTTACACGCAGACACTTTTACACACAGAAGCTTTTACACACAGAAGCTTTTTACACGCACACGCTTTTGCACACAGAAGCTTTTACACACAAGAGCTTTTACACACAGCATCTTTTTACACACAGGCACCTTTTCACTTTACACACAGACACTTTTACCCAAAGAAGATTCTACATTCTACACACAGAAGCTTTTACACACAGACGCTTGTACACACAGAAGCTTTTACACACAGATGCTTTTACACGCAGAAGCTTTTACACACAGGAGCTTTTACACACAGAAGCTTTTACACACAGAAGGTTTTTACACGCAGACGCTTTTACACACAGACACTTTTACCCACAGAAGATTTTACACGCACAAGCTTTTACACACCGACGCTCTTACACGCAGAACATTTACACACCCCGAAGCTGTTTACACGCAGACACTTTTACACACAGACACTGTTACCCACAGAAGATTCTACACACAGAAGCTTTTACCCACAGAAGATTCTACACACAGAAGCTTTTACACACAGCATCTTTTACACACAGCATCTTTTTACACACAGGCACCTTCACACTTTACACACAGGCACTTTTACCCAAAGAAGATTCTAAATTCTACACACAGAAGCTTTTACACACAGACGCTTGTACACACAGAAGCTTTTACACACAGATGCTTTTACACACAGAAGCTTTTTACGCACGGACACTTTTACACACAGACACTTTTACCCACAGAAGATTCTACACACAGGAGCTTTTACACACAGACGCTTTTACACACAGAAAATTTTACACACAGAAGCTTTTACACACAGAAACTTTTACACACAGAAGCATTTACACACAGAAGCTTTTACACACAGGAGCTTTTACACACAGACGCTTTTACACACAGACGCTTTTACACACAGAAGCCTGTACATACAAAAACTTTTACACGCAGAAGCTTTTACACACAGAAGCTTTTGACACTTTTACCCACAGAAGATTCTACACACAGAAGCTTTTACACAAAGACGCTTTTACACACAGATGCTTTTACACACAGACGCTTTTACACACAGAAGCTTTTCACACGCAGACGCTTTTGCACACAGGAGCTTTTACACAAAGACGCTTTTACACACAGACGCTTTTACACACAGACGCTTTTACACGTAGAAGCTTTTCACACGCAGACGCTTTTGCACACACACAGGAGCCTTTACACGGAACTTTTACACACAGAAGCTTTTGCACACAGAAGCTTTTACACACAAAAGCTTTGACGCTTTTACACACAGGAGCTTTTACACGCAGACACTTTTACACACAAATATTTTTACACACAGACACTTTTACCCACAGAAGCTTTTACACACAGAACCTTTTACACACAGAAGCTTTTTTCACGCAGACGCTTTTGCACACAGAGGCTTTTACACACAGACGCTTTTACACACAGAAGCTTTTACGCGCAGAAGCTTTTACACACAGAAGCTTTTACACACAGAAGCTTTTACACACACAAGTTATTGCGCACAGAAGCTTTTTACACGCAGACTCTTTTGCACACAGAAGCATTTACACACAGGAACTTGTACACAAAGAAGCTTTTGCACACAGAAGCTTTTACAATCTTTTACACACAGGAGCTTTTACACACAGACACTTTTACACGGACTTTTCTACACACAGAAGTACCATTTTACCCCAGTTTTGGACGATCAAACCTCATTTCGTGCGAAAGGGTTGCGCCGGACGCGTGCAAATCGCAATTTTACCGCAGTTTTTGGCTATCGAACCTCATTTTTACCAAAATGCTTGCGAAATGCAGAGGTTCTCCAAGCTGCAGCTCTCTGACCGCCAGCGGGAACGGCCAACGGGACAACGGGACAACGGGAACGGGACAACGGGACAACGGGAACGGGACCACGGGACAACGGGACGGGCAGTACCGAACCCATCTTCATCAATCAAATGATGTTGAAGTTCTAGTAATTTTACGCAATCTCCTGTTAAAACCTACCACAGGACGAAACAAGAGAATCGTTCATACTCCAGTGAAACTATACTCGGGGTTATGACATTAGAACCATACCGTAGAAAGAAAACACGTTCCCTCGCGAAGGGTCGTCAGGCTTTCCACCTGAACTTACAAATCCGAGACATCCTGTGCGCTTAGCACACCACAAGGGAAATGTTTTACGCGAGACTGCAAATATACAGCGAAAACGGCCAGGCTAACATAAGATCCAGTGCAGTCCGGACGACCCCGCAGTCCTACCATAAATTTAAAAAACTAGACATAGTATGGTATGGATTATGATTGGGTTTACTGGATTACTTCACCCAAACAATAGGCCGTATGTGTTGGTCAAACCGCTGATCCAAAATCGCCCAACATCACTTTCAGGTTCCCAATGTTTTAGGTTTTAAGAATTGGTTTTAGGGTTTAAGTGTTTAGTGATTATTTAGGCGTTGTTTTGGGGTGTTAATTAGTTTTCCATGGTTTTCAGTGTTTCAGCCTTGGAGTTGCAGGTTTAAGTTTTTAGGGCTTTAGGGTGTTGCGGGTTCAAGATCACCTGTGCAATGACGCACAGGTCCCCCGCCTGAGCTTTCACAAATGCGAGAATGACCCACTATTTACATTGTTTTGAGAGAGCCTCAGGCAAATTGGGGTGTTTGTAAGTGTTCTGCAAAATTCGCATGTTGTAAAATTCGCATGTTGCAATGTTTATAGCATCTGATAAATATAGCATCTATAGACATACATTCAGAGCATTTCTGGTAATGTAGTTCACCCAATTCCACACAATCTCCGAACAATTTCTCCCATGTTCATCATCTCGAAAGGTGGCAAAAACCATGGCAGACTCCATTTTTTGTTTACCTCATTTGGAAATGCCCAATCATTCCAAAAGTATTCAATCATTATTTTCTAATTCATGTTTATTGTGGTTTGATATTTGATATAATCCCATATTATTGCAAAAAAACAATCAACATTGGGTTTCATGAAACGTTTACCCAGTTTTCCGTAGCCACTGTGAAGTGCACGTCACACAACGTGCCTCAATCAGGAAGTACTGGACCAGCAATTCGAAAAGCATTGACAGAGCCTAGGATTTTGAGACATGGCCCTTGGGGCCCCAAGGAATGTGGAAAGGAAGAATCTTGGACGATACATGTAGGTGTTCAAAATCCTTGTCATTCCATTATACATGGTTGGTTAATCGGGATTCCTACTATTGGATTTTTATCATCCCCAATATATACGAGTAATGTAATCCCATGTAAGCCCTTACAATCATCAACCAACGGGGGTTTTGAACACTGCTCATGTGCCTGGGTCAAAAATTGGACCACATACCCGTATTGGGGGATTGTCATCAATCCATTGATAGAGAACTTGAAAAACCTACTGTTTCCGGAGTCCAATGGCATGGGATGGTACACATATCTATATATATAAATAATATGTATATGTACATATATACAGAAACTCGTGTATATTGATGTACAGTCATTTAGACATATCCCATAGTAATCAAATTATATATATATGTATATGTGATCCATATTAATGATAATACTCACACTAGTAAAAACCATGATTATTACGTACATGATGAGATTGTAAATATCTATAAAAAAATATATATACATACGTACATACATACATATGTATAATAGATTGTACCTCACCTTTGGAAACTCGGCTGCTACCTATAAAGGGAAACGGAAATGTCTGGAGTACAGCCACACAGTGAACTGAACCAGAACCAAACCGAAATTCTCCGGCACTGTGCTCCTGCCGGAGCCCGGTTGGCAGGGGGTGGTAGCCCTGTCCAGGTTGTAGATGTATACAATCTGATTCATAATATCCAACTTTCGCGAAACTTTCGCGAATACACATTTTACTTTTGCCAACTCGAAAAAAAATCCCGGCAAGAGACAACAAACAGTGTGGGGGGGGGAGTGGGAGGATAGTGTACGATAATGTGGGTGATGATGATGATGATGATGGTGGTGGTGGTGATGATGAAGATGAGGATGAAAATGATGCAAACGAGGATGTCGAGGATGATAATATTGCGGAAGATGAGGTGGAGGAGGGTGATGCTGCGAAAGATGAAGTGGAGGATGATGATGTGGAGGATGATGATGTTGAGGATGATGACATTGAGGATGATGACGTTGAGGATGATGAGGTGTAGGGTGATGACGTTGAGGATGATGTGGAGGATGAAAATGTTGAGGATGATGATATCAAGGGGGAGGAAGAGGATGATTTTGAGAATAATGATGTCGAGGAGGAGGAAGATGATGGTACGGAGGATGCAGATGCAGATGCAGATGCAGATACGTTTTGTGCGGGCCTCGCAGTCGAAATGCACGTCAACATTTCACAAGAGCCATTTTGTACGGAAATTTACAGGAAAAATGCCCAAGCCCAGAACCCAGGACCACACTTCGTGCGAGCCTGCGCAATCGACATGGACTTCAACATTTCAGAAGTGGCACTTTATACAAACAATATATAGGAAAAATGCCGCACCCCAAAACCTATAGGACCACACTTTGTGCGAGCCTGCGCAGTCGAAATGCACTTCAACATTTTACAAAAAATGACAGGATAAATGCCGGACCCCAAAAACTATGGGACCACACTTTGTGCGAGCCTGCGCAGTCGAAATGCATGTCAACATGTCACAAGAGCCACTGTATACGGAAATTTGCAGGAAACATGCCAGAACCGGGGCGCAGACTTTGTGCGAGCCTGCGCAGTCGAAACGCATGTCAATATTTCACGACAAGAGCCACTTTGTATGGAAATTTACAGGAAAAATGCGGCGCCCAGCTGGAGCACCCTGATCAAGCACCGGCCTTTACACTTACCGTAAGAACCCGTCAGCGTGGACACACTGTTTGGGCTTCACGAGGGTTCCCAACAAAGCATGAACGGTCTTCACAATTGAAACTCTTTACAAGGACCTTTAGAATCTTTAGATTGATCATCATATATGATCTAAATTTGAAAAGACAGCTCTTTAGCAGTAGAAACCTAAATCATGACACTGTAGACTGCTTGGTGGTTTCATATATTCTCTATACACATAAATTTGAAACCACCAAGCAGTCTACAGTGTCATGGTTTAGCGTGGAATCAGCTGAGCCTAAGACAATCGCAGAGTAGCGAAAGAGGAAAAATGTGAAAACCTGGCGCGTTGGGAAAAATCTTAAGTTCCTACAGGATGGGGAAAACGTTGTCGAGTTGTCGCGTAAAGTTCCGTTGCCTTAAACAAATGGCTGAATGAACTGTGGTTTATGGTAGACTATAGATAACTGTAGTTAATGGGGTTTATGAATCAACTTACAACTGGGGGGCACCATCCTGTAAAAGAGGGTACTCCCATAGCTGAATGGATAATAATGGAAAACCCAATCTATAAATAGATGATGACTGGGGGTATACCCCCAGGACTTGGGAAATCGTGATATTGCCCCTTTCAGGAAAGATCGATGGGCCGGTTTGGTATATTGTTGATTACCATCTACCGATAGATCCTATAGGTTGTTGAAGGGGGGGAACCATCTAGGGCAGGTCTTCAAATACCATGCATCCTTGGGAACCGTAGTCATTCAGATGCTCTTATTGGTAACACAATATGGAGGTTTCCTAAAATATGGGTTTCTACGGTTTTCTCCCAAATCATGCATTTTCATGGATTTTCCATTGTAAAACTATTAAAACTATCCATTTTGGGATATGTACCCCATTCATCCCCATTCCAGGAAACCCCCTTTTTTCAGGAAAACTATGGAAAACCCGTGTGATTTTTTTAATCAAACAAACAGGAGGTCTCCCGTAACGTTTCCAACATTGGAAGAACGAACGAGCACGTTGAACGAACGTCACCGAGATATCAACATGGAATTCATGGCGCAAATAATTAAATGAAAAATCTCCTATGGAGATTGATCGCTGGCTTATGTTACCCTCTGGTAATTTAACATAGCTATTGAAAATCACCATCTTTAATGGGAAAATCCACTATAAATGGTCATTTTCAATAGCTATGTTAAATTACCAGAGGGTAATAATTACATGAAAAATCTCCTATAAATGGAGATTGATAGCTGGCTTATGTTAATCTTTAAAAGGGGGATTTCCACTTGCTATGTTGTTGGGCTGGAGACACAAAATGGGTAATGCTCGCCGGGGCGGCCGCAGCGAGGATGAATGCAGCAGCTATGTACAAACCTGTCAGTTCGGACAGGACACCTGGCTCCGACGCGACTGGTGCGGTGACGTCGTGCATTCCAAGGGGACGTCATCAATGCAGTATGTAGCTGGCACTACATCTATTGACTTAGACAACTTACATCGTCCTCCAATTTTCAAGAAACAGACTTTCATTAACCGTCAACCATATTAGTAACCATTATTAATTATTAACTTGTTATCCGACAGATCCTAATCCTACAAATCTGGGCACTCCAGACAAATCCATTCATCAAATCGCCCCGGCGCCTTTGTCTGCAACGTGTTTTGGATGCCAATCGATGTCAAAGTTGTCATTGACGCAATAATCCCACGCAGGTCGAATGCCTCAGCGATTTGATGCAGAACAAGGCTGGACCCTTCGATGAAAAAATGGCAAAGTGTCATCTTTGGTTCATATTTGGAAAAGGTGAACTGCCCGGTGTCTTGTCAGATCTTGTCAGCATGTCTCCAAACATCTTTTCCAGACTTTGTGTTCTTTTTCTTGACACGGGATTGTCCAAAAATAATTGAAATAGGCTAATTTTGCATATTTGGATGGCAATTTGGGGATGTAGCGTGGTATGGAATCTGTCTTACTAGGATTGGGTACCTTCGAAAAGGCTACAGCTGGAAGTAAACAGAACCATCCCACACTTGTGGACAAACACAAGTATGAACTTCATGGAACCATAGTAAACCCAAGTTTGAACTCAAGTATACAACCCAAATTATATTCATAATGTATATATATATATACACATCATTACAGCATATTGTATGTGGGTGATTTACCCTGGTTCTCCCTGGTGCGGCCCGAGCAACCGAGAGGATCCCGTGCTTCTTCAGGGCATGAGCCCGGATCGACCTCGCACCATGTGTAGGCTTCGTTGCCGTAAGCACAGCCGTAGTATTCCTGACAGTTTTCAAAAATTGGGATGGATGGTTAGAACGCGTTGGAACCCAATGCTTTCATACACATACATATGTCCATATACATATGCATATACCGGCATATACATGAACATACATATATATATATACATATAACTGTATTTTTCAATGTATCTATATATATACATATTATCTATGTATATTGTGTTACTGCAATCGCATGTTTGCAGACAGCTACTTCCAAAACGGTCCAACTGAGAGGGAACTATGCAGAATTCCGAGGATCAAAGGTCTGCAGCACACCCTGCCACCCTTGGACCATGGCAGCATGAACTGTGGATTCCCGGATGATTATGATACGTTCCAATAGATAATAATATATAATAATAAATATATATACATATTTGTAGAGGGTAGTAAAACTCTTACAGCCTCCCCCCCCAAAAAAAAAAATCATCAACCAACCTCAGTGTGCCATGGCGCACCTTGCAATCTGTCTGTAGGAATTGGTTGCCACAATGCACCTGGGGGCCATGGGATCCGGGGATCAATGGGATCCTGATATGGATATGGGACCATGGGATCCATACTGCTTAAATGGATATATGATATATACATGGTATATAATGTTTATAATGGCATACCGAGGTTTATAAATGGTTTATAGTGGTATATGATATATAATGTGGTTAAAACTATGCCATAAACCATCACCTTTTTTTGGAATGGTAACCATACCACCCATAAAAATGGTGATTTAGGCGACGGTTTTTGATTTGTTGAACCACATTATTAATTTATGATGCATATGTAATACCACCCATAAAAATGGTGATTTAGGCGACGGTTTTGGATTTGTTGAACCACATTATTAATTTATGATGCATATGTAATTAGTTTCTATATGTATCTAGCAATCGCTATGAATTCTCTATTTATACTTATATCATTACATCATGATTTATGTATCTGTATCTAATAATTCCTTATTCATATACGTATATCGTCATAAATTCTGCATATTATAGTATCAATAATTATCTTAATTGTATATCATATCTACATATACATACCATAATATAAATTAACCATATAGTTACATCATTATATCTGGTTGGTGGTTTCAACCCCTCTGAAAAATATCAGTCAGTTGGGATTATTATTCCCAATATATGGGAAAATAAAATTCACGTTCCAAACCACCAACCAGTATATGTATAGCGGCATAGCATTATCAACATCTTCACCGCGGCGCATTTCAACTCCACGCACTCCGCAGCCCCTGCTGACCCCAGTCATGGCTCCCTGACCCAGCGAGCTTTGCAGCTGCATTTGGAGCTGGTTTCGAAGGCCATGCAGGGATCGGTGATTTCCCATTGACCTCCGGTCTGAGGGCTGTAAAGGGGGCTGAGCCTTGGGGGTCGAGCCTTGGATATATTCAAAAACAATGGATTTCATGGGGATATTATGGGACTTAAAATGGGATTTTATGGGCTTCATGGGGTCTTTTTCTAGTGAGTGAACTTCGGGTTTTTGGCTTCAGATCTCTGGGTTTTTTCGGATGGGGATTCAATGGAACTACTGGGGTGTAAAGGGATCACCATATTTCGTTCGTTGATTTACCGAACTTAAAGACGGTGGATGTTCCAGTTCACAAACTGTAAACGTTTACATCTCATGAAAACAATGGAACTGGCATAAAGTCTGATTAAATTTGCAATATGGATAATCGTTGTTTGTGGTGGAATGGTATGTTGTGGACCACGGGGATCAGTGATCTATCCCAAAAAGTATTTTAGACAACGACGAAGAGATTGGATTGCTCGGTTCATAACGAGCAGTAGAGATGGACTATGCAAGGTGGGGTCCCAAATCATAGGAGTCTCGCAAAACCACCACAAATAGCGATTGAACCAACAAGGCTTTGGAATTTTAGCCATGAAACATGTTCTTTTTAGTTGATTTTATGATGGCAAAGTTGGTTGATTTCAGTTGGTTCACGGTTGGGTATATGGTAGGATATATCCATAGCAGGGTTAATCACCCATCAAACATAACTGGGAGAAACCACCTTGTACCAATATTCAATATATATAATATAATATACAGTAATTGAGATTTAGTGGTATTCAAGCAAACATCGCAAAAAGGGACAATAGATAGTGGAATTTGATATGACTTATTGATATTGTAATGGAATACAACCAACAATAGTACACTGGGAAATGTATCGCCATGAGATATCGAGCTTCAAAGGTTAAATGAAGTTTGATCGGCAAATGATCGTAACCACTCATTTCTTTCTTGTGTGATATAGTATTTGTTTAGGATTATTCTTTATTTTTTAGGTACCACCAAAAATCGTAACAACAATTTTAATGAGGTTGAATGGGTGAATTACACCAATGGGGGACCTCATGGGACGTCTAGATATGGAGGCTTGGGCACATGATAGCAACAATTATTAACAGTTTCATTTATGGGCATCATGGTTTATATATCAGGTTTCACATCAAAACATGCAGGATGTCATAGATCCGCATTCATGGTGATTGATTACTACAATAATCCAATCGTTGATGGTCACCAACCAAGGGGTCCAATAATCATCATTCCGTTACTGGGGCCTTACACAACAATCATCATCATATCATCATATCATCATATCATCATATCATTATCATCATCGTCCTCATCATCATCATCATCAATTTGTTCTAATTTACCACTAAGACAGAGTTGGGTTTGACCGACTATTATCTTTTTGGGGCTTAGGATTGCCATACACCAATCCCAAGATCGAAAAGGGTGGGTTTTGCCCAAAGGGAGCTCCTGGAAGCGTTTTTGTCTGTACAACTACATACATGTCACATACATGCGTGTATATAAATATATAGAGACAATATATATATATATAAACATATTTGTATATTATAACATGTATATTATATATTTATTAATTGCCATTTATATATATATATATTTATAGTTACGTATAAATAAATATATATATAATATACATATGCATATTATATATATATATGTGTGTCTTTCTCTGGAAACTAGGGCACCCCAAAAATTCGAATGGGTCATCATCATTGTCCCCATGAAAATTGCCGTGGTGGACATACCCTTCATAAGAAGGGTAGAACGAAACAAATATACACGCATACAGAACATGAATATGGTATATAATACACCATAGATAGTCTCATTATGTACTATAAATACATAAATATATATATATATATATATCAATGGAATATATATATATATTGTACACATGCCAACATGTCAACTACCTGAAAAAGGCCTGGGTTTGAGAATCCCAAATCACATGTATAAACTAGTATCAACATAATATGGTCAATCTATCCTTCAGGGGACCACATTCTGGTCATGGTCGCGTACCTCCTTCATGGCAAAGGGCCACAGGACGACCCCAATATCCCGGGGAACAGGTGAAACGCACCTGGTGTCCAAACTCGTGGTGAAGATGCAGCGGGGATGACTTGGCATGTGTTGATGGTTTAGGATTCGCATCTTCGATTTTTGGAGGTGTTATGTATTTGTTTTTAGCTTGTTGGTAAAGGTGGCGGATGGATTGATGGATGTTGCCCAAGTTTAATTGATTTCAACCGTCTTGAATGATGTTGACGGATGTTAGACAATTTTGCGTTGGTTGGTGGTTTCAACCCCCCTGAAAAATATTAGTCAGATTGGATCATCATCCCAACTATTGGGAACATGTTCCAAACCACCAACGAGTGCGTGTTCGTGAAACACCAAACTTCCATGTTCCTAAAGACCTTGCCGAAACGACCGTGAGTCCCATCATTTTTCAGGGCGTAGCGATGACCTTCGCCAGTTCGGGTGTCCGTTTCCAGTGCCAAATGATATGCGTTGATTTGGATGTTTACATAAGATTACATCTAAAAATAATGTTTTTAATTGGTATAACGGCATAACTCGCCAATTTTGGCGGGAAGAACCCGTTCCCATGAAATTGTGTTCAATTTTTCCAGGCACATCTCATATTGCCATACATTGGCCCTAAAAAACAGCCATGAATTTGACACTTCAGACTCATCTTTCTTCGCTTCTATTCCTCGTCGATATCTCAGGGCTGAAGGTGCATTCGCCATTTCTTGCTGGTGTTTTGTCGCTAAACTGCCCAATAAATAATATTAAATATATAATCACATTTTTTCCACACAAACTAGCGAACCCATCCAATGTGCTACACCCATATCAAATCAAACAGTCCGAGATGATTTATACAACTCATTGCTGGTGATCATTGGATAACTGTGTTTATTGTGGTTCATAATATGTACTATGGTATTGCAGAACTGATCCATCCCACCTAATAATTCAGTGACGTCGGTTTCACAATTTAATCAGATGTATGTTTTCAGACAAACCCCATCAAATAAAGGTGATGGAAAAATCAGATCTGTTCAGATTTATATATATATGTGGTTTCTGATTGGGTTTACTACATCAGTTCAAATAATTAATGCATCACATCCAATTGTTAAAACGTTCGCTTCACCGTCCCTTCACCTGTAACAGGCGCGCACCGTTTCCCCCACGTAGCTCCGGTCCAAGTCGTGCGTGCCGGTCTCGGATGTGAAGTGGCGACCAGCAACCGTGACGATTTTGAAATGGGATTATACAGGATATATAGGGAATATATATATATACATATATACATATATATATATATATAGGGATATATAGGGATATTATACAGGATGGGGCCCCCAGTCGATAGCGTTCAGTTGCCTTATAAGTGGCTGAAATCTATGGTTTCTGGTAGATATTATAACGAACTAGTTAATGGATGTTAATGGGGTTTATAAACCAACAACCATAACTGGCGGGCATCATCCTGTAGAAACATATAGAGAATTACAGGGATCTAATGAGACAGAATGGAGAAATTTCTATAATATTCTGGGATTTCACTCAATTTCACAGTTTGCGACGGGGAAAATCACGATGGAAAAAATAGGAGGATCATCAAACTAATAGGCCAAGTTTCCATAGCAAAACTATGAAACTAACGAAAGGTATTTGCAAGTTGTGGAACATGTGATGTGGAAAATGGAAAGATATGGTCCCCTTGTGCCTGAAGAACACATTTCTGACTTATCTGCAAATTACGGCATGATAAACCTTGGGACCGCATCTAGTGGGTAATTACTTGAGCTACCAGATACTGAGCCCAGCTAGAGATTTGCTACTCATGGTTCCTTTGAACTACCGCAAGATAGTTCCATTTGTTCTCCAGGTACCGGATATGGTGTCTGCGCAAAAAAATTGACAACGCAAAAAAAAACATGTATTATAATATGTATTTATGCATATGTATATATATAGTGTATATATATATATATATATTATGTATGGTCACGGCCCCCTGGATGTATATATATATATTTGTATATATATATTTATATTATATATATGCTCCCCCCGCCGAAACCTACCGGTTTCGATTTTTTATTGTGTTTTACAGTGATTTTTGTCGGTTTTTGCCTTCAAAAGCAGCCAGCATTTGTTCATTCATTTGAAGACTTTGGATGCTTGAACATGATGAGTCATGATGCTTCATGTGTAGATACAATGACATATTTTGATGGTATTTGCAGCGCTTTCGACTACAGTATTGGGTTCCCAGCAAAGAGTTTCAATTCAAACATTGACAGAATGCGCACGGCACTGTGGCCAAATGTCAACTTTAAGCTTTACATTGGTTTATACAATGTTTTTGTTCCTTCTTGTGACCCGTGAAATTTCGGATTTTGTATGCTTTCAGATATTGCAGGCATATTATTTGATGATCAACATGGTTTTGGGGAATCTTAGATTTAAAACCAAGAGCCAAGAACCAAGATTTGCTCAGGAGTCTTTGGGGAATCTTGGTTCTTGGTTTTGGTTCGGAAATTCCAAGATTTGTTCAGGAGTCGTGGGGGAATCTTGGTTATTGGTTCTTGGTTTTAGCAGAGAATGCATTCTGAATGCATTCTTCCCAGAATGCAGAGAATGCATTCTGAATGCGTTCTTCCCAGAGTGCTATCATTGAAGTTGCGTTCAATCAGTCTCAATAGCATACTTATTACACTATTATAATATATATATATAATACTCTTAGCGTGTATGTAAGGTAACCCCCTTTTGACCCAACCATCTCATGAATATGTCAAAAAGGTAGGTTTCAGGGGGGGTACCATATATATATATATATTTACATATTGAGGTAGGATTTATTCTAAGATTGTATATAATACATTTGAATATCCATCCAAAACATATGTATATGTATATATAGAGAGAGAGAAAGAGAGACCCTCCATACAGTGTATATATATTTATACAGTATACAGTATATCATATTTGAATCACAATTGAATATTCATCAAACACATATGTATATATATATATATTATTTTAAATGTATATGTATATATATATACTATAATATATATATACGGTATATTCCCAGATCAATGTATGTCATATATACATCTGGTTGGGAAACTCAATTCGTATCTGGCTCCCCCCTGGCTTTGGAATAACCGACCATCCCATCTGAAGCGCCACTCTGTGGCTCCCTCGACCCCAGTGAGTTCTGTACCTTGCCTAAGAAAGTTCGTTACATCATTTCAATTGAGTTAAATCACGATCATGAATGATAGCTCATTGATTATGAAATGATTATAGTTACTAGTTACGATCTATGAAATATTGATTATGACTATAGTATCATTGAATAGTTATAGTTATTAGATCATTTTTTTTCGTCTATAGCATCATTGAAATCACGTGAGTCACCAACAACTAGTAAAATATCACGGTATACATCATTTCAACTGGTAATATGAAACATTATTACCATATAACTTCTCACTTAGTTATCGTGACTTGTCACCACTTATCTATTGATTTCATATTTTCTACATACATCAAATAGTGAAATAGTGACTATAAATCAATACTCTTCTATCATATTTTAACTACATTTCCCTGTACTTTGACTTTGGCACAGTCATGCCATTTCTGAGCCCGGCTCCATGGTCATGGTCTCTTGCCTTGGGATTCGGCGATCGAGATCGCCATGGCTTTCACCAAGGCAACGATGGCTTCATAACCGGTTAAGAATGATACAATGTGAATTTTGATGATATTAAATGACTTTAGTAAGTATAATTCATATACTGCTCCATTACTATATAGTAATATAGTAGCTAAAGCCATATAATGTTACTAGAAATCTATACCAAAAAGCCATTTAAAATTCTGATGGTGACCATAAAACAAGCATGGTGAAATTGATCCTGTGAGTTGGCGACAAATACTGATCACGAAGTCCCAGAAATGGTAGTGAAACATAAGTTAAACTGAGACAATGATATTCACATCTAACTAGTTACCCAACTGAAAACGTTATATGCTACTATGATGTACGAGTCCTATGATATACTATAATATACTATGAGATACTATGAGATACTATGATATACTATGATGAACTATGATGAACTATGATATACTATGACATTTCCAAGAAATGGTGACAGTGGGAATTAGCTATGGGATTTTATCGTTGTCCAACTACGCAGGATAGCTTGTGGTCATCATCCCATGCTTGATGGTTAAAAAACTCTCGGTAGACGCTCCTAGTTTAACTATGTTACCAGGATGTTGTTTTTGTGATCACCTGAAAATTTCTAGGTCTCCAGATGTTCTGCCCTAAAAATGGGGGGGATTGCTGAAATGCTGAAATTCCCCAACAAAGAGAAAGCTACATCAATATGAAACTAACATCAACATGTTGGGGCTTGACTGACTTTTCAAGTTTGACTGAAAGATCTGAAAGATCTGAAAGATATGTGAACCCCATTCTTGAACAAACCCAGTGGCTCCAGCAAGCCCATTCTTGAAGACCCCGATAAAAAACTTGATATCCAACCATATTCAACCATGAAATATAAACCACAAATTCCTTGCTTATGGTTGCTTATATACATTAAGCCCATGAACCCCTACAAAAATTGGGTGACGCAGTGGCGCCACTGCCTTTCAGGCGCAGGCCAACCAGTGGAAAATCCTGTTTTCCTTGACGACCTCAGACAGATCAATCCGTGAAAACATGTGCCTGTTGAAATCTCGTCCACTAAGATCGCAATATGACGCTGGCTCTAAGCTTTGCCGCAAAAGAACATGCGATTTTCATGCAACATCAAGCTGCAAAGGATTCCATTTCTCTCCCCTTTTCGCTTCCTTTTCCCTTCACAGTTCGTTTCTGGGCACGACGAGTGAACACCGGAACACCTATGGTCACATCTCCATGCCGGGCCACTGCAAGAAGGTTTGCAAAGATCCACAACCAATCAACGAACACCTCCGAGAAGGCAGAGCGGTTGAAAAAATGGTTTAAGAAGTTGAAATTGGCAGGGATATTCAATGCAACCACTTAAACAGCTGCCTAAGAGAGTATGACCTAAGTACTGAGAATGGGGACTGAACCAACATCAGTGGGACTAGTTCCAATGTAGGCGTCATCAAACATGGCTTGTTGGAAAATCCGCAATAGTTCGTGGATTTTCCCAAACTCAACCTGTCCCAGCTTGGTTCCTACAATCTGAGGCCCCCCAGTTATAAGTTGGTTTATAAGCCCCAGTAACTATAGTTATAAGTACCATAAACCATAGTTATTGGAGTTATAAACCAACTTAGCTATCTTGGGGGCCTCACATTGTAACGTATTATTTTAACATTTTTCCCAGATTTTTCCAGCGCTTTTGCGAATCGTTCGAATCCTTCGAACTTCGGATTTCCCAGCGCTTGCCGCGCGCCATCTGGCTGAGGACACTCATTAAAAATGGCTCACCAGGTAGGATCCCAACAGTAACAATCCCAACAGTTGATTCTATGCCCAACAATGGTATATTCTCAACATTACTATGGTTAATAATGGTTTATCTATGGTTAATCTATGGTTATCTATCTGGTTGGTGGTTTTTCGCCACCCCTCTGACAAATATGAGTGAGAGTCAGTTGGGATGATGAAATTCCCAACTGAATGGGAAAATAAAATTCATGTTCCAAACCGCCACTTTCTCACTTTCTTGTGCGCGCAACGTCGCTAAGAACGTTACCCGTCTTGGGTGTTCTAGTCCAAACTCGTGAGCACCACCTTATCAACACCGTCGATGTCAAACACAAACGGTAAGGAATCAACTGCCTTTGATTGCCGTCGAAACGCAAAGGGGCAACACGAGTAAAACCAACGATCAATGGCGTCCAACCTAGCAGCTGGCCATGGTACAGCAAAAACTCCTGTGTGCATTTTCACCATATTTGAATGCGGAAGCCCAACCTGAAAAGTGATGGTCTGTCCCAAATGGCGAAGACATTCTTTCAGGATCTTGATAAACCATTTCACACGCAGCTTATAGGAAAAACCCCTCAGAGCTAAAAACGGTACATCAGCACCATTCTTCCAGCCATTGACCTTCACCGGGCCTGGATTGCCCGTTGATGCCATGTAGTCAGCATAAAGTTGCAAATGGGATACCCATTTGATAGGTTCAGTGCTCGTATATAACACATCCCAGAACCAGCTGAGTGTGAGGCAAACTATATCCTTTCCATACCACTTCGCTGCACGGCTAGGGATGGAAAGGGTACCTAGTCCAAGCCAAAGAGGGAGAGGAGCCATTTCTGAACAAAGTGGGGTGGCCTCTCCTGTGCCATCATCCAAACTTTGATCACGCACCACTGCCTGGCTAATAGACAAAAGGACTTGGCGATTGTAAAAGTTTACCAAATTGACATACTCAACTGCAGCAAAATGCCGTGAAAGTAAGTCCCAAAATTCTGGCGGTCTCCTGAAATTGGCAGCAACAGCCTCTCTGTCTGCCAATCGGTTATGGCGGACAATCCACTGCGCTTCTGGGCACGTCACCTTGGAGATATCTTGATGCGCCGCAACTTTACGAACATGGATGTTGGTATTCCGTCCTTGAACCAAGTGCAAAATGCAGTTCCACAAGTCAGCGTGTGCACTACTAGGCTTAATTTGGGATCCATGGAGGAGTCGCCTAAGTCTACACACAACCGAGTGGCAGTCGGACCACAGTGTGACATGAAATGAGCAAGCACGTGCAAATTCAAGGGCCCGCAATATCGCATAGAGCTCAGCTCTGACAGCACTTTGTAGGAGTCCTGGCAGGACTCCACTCTCAACAATATGAGTGTCCTTCAAACCTGTCAAGTCAGGTGACGCCAAAATCACCGCCCAAGCTGCAAAACGCAGGTGCAGCAAGCCTTGATAGAAACAACTCCCATCTGTGAACAAGTGGATCGGCATCTCACTAGGAATGGCTCTCAAGGCAGGTTGAGGCGGCAAAGAGATAAAGTAATGCCACCAGTCAAACATTGTAGATGGGGAAAGGTCCCAACCAAAACATGTGACTGCTTCCGGCAGGTTGCAAACTTCAGTAAGCAGAGATGCAGGGACATCATTTCTGGCCCAAGCAAAATGCTCACACTGCCAAAATCGGTGGTATCTACTATCGCTACACTGACAGTATGGACAAGTATCCTCAGAGCTCTCTTGGCTATACTTTTTACCATCTTGGGTGACATGTGTTCCGTTCAACAGCTTCCGGTAAAGCGCTTGGTCACTGGGATTCTGGGCAAGTAACCACAACCTGGTTGATTGAGGCCAAACCCTGGAAAGTCCTCCAACCCCTATCCTGTGAGCAGTGTTTCCAACCACAATGTGCAGCCATTGCCATTCCATACGCATCTCAAGTTCAGTGCAGGACACATCAAAAATGGAGAAAGGGCCAAACATGTCAACCACTTGGCCCACAGCATTAACATGCCATCCCAGGAATTGAATTCTTGTCAGGAGAGTAGACGTGATGCTGTTGTGAACAGGCATGTCACCATGTGCAAACTGCGCAAGGACATCTTGGACAACATCACGCCTTCCACAATCTTTGACAAACCTGAATGTTTGAAGGATCGACCAATAGTGCGGGTCGGCCGCTGGTCTTTCCACAAGGCCAAGATGCAGGGAGGAGTTACTACCGGCATGGTCCTCGCCTATCCCCTTCATTGCACCTGCTCGGAGCTGCTTGAAGGTGCTCAGGCTCAAAGTGGTGGCTGGTATGGCATGCAGCCCTTTGGGCCATGCCGCGCTCTTTAGGGCACGCACCTTAAAAGCATAACTGCAGGCAGACAAACGCAATCTTGGCCACAAATGCTGAAGGGACTGAATGCGGTCCATCTGGGTACCATTTGTGTGCTTTTTGGACAACTGCATGTGGGCACCAAGACTTTTGCATGACATGGAAATGCTGAAACCCTGTTCACGCAACAAAGCTCTATCTTCCGGCTGAATGGCCCACACATGTGTTTTGCGCCTGTCCAGAACCAAGTCAAGTGCAGCAACCAAATCATCCAACACTTTGGCAGCAGCTTGCATATGGCTGGGGTCACAAACCAACAATTGCCAATCGTCGACATAAGAAATTGGTTGCGTCAGAGGCAGGTAATGTCGAAACCACTCGTGAAAAATGAAATCGACTACCATCATTGCAACACATGAGAGCGCATCGCCTTCTGGAAATCCACAATTTGACCAAACCGCCTCACTAAGGGAATCACGAAGTTGAAAACGTCTCTGCATCTGACTGAGCGCACCAGCCCAACCAATTAGGACTGGCAAAGGGACACCCAAAATGGCACATGCTTCAATGGCAACAACCCTGGGGAGCATGTTAAACGCCTTCTGAAGGTCCACCAGCATACCACATAATCCAAAGGAATTCAGGAGTGCATTTTCAATGGACCATAAAACTTGGGACCAAACCTGCCCTGCAAAGCATTGAGGCCTAGAACCAAAAAGGCCTACAGGCAAATGAGGATCAAGCGCATGCAACATATGTTTGGAATGGAAAGACCCCCAGCACCGATATAGAAGGCTAAACACCGTAATAGGTCTGAAGTCCATTGGGGTCTGCGGTTGTTCCGTTTTGGCTAAGCTGGTTACTCTACCTGCCGTTACTTGAGATGGCCATTCACCAGTAACCTCCGCCCAACTGAACATATCACAGAAATTCTGGAGAGCATTCAACGGGAGTGCTTTCAAATCACGGAGAGTCACTCCATCCAAACCATGTGAGGTAGCAGTTTTCTTTTGAGCAATTGTTTCACGCAAAGAGGCAGGGTCAAGCTGAGGCCATGTCATGGAGACTTGAGGCAACTTGGCTCTGGCAAAGTCCAAGATAGGTTTCCACCTTTCGGCCGGGACATCAGCATGCCGTCCCCATTTTTCCTTCCAAGCATCAATGAAGGCCTGTCCAATGTCAGCTTCAAGACCCTGCCGTTGCAGTTGTGTGACTGAATCTCCCACCTGAATTTGAGCCAAATCTTCCACCCACAAGCAATCGTCTTCAGCATGAATAATATCTACTGGAACACCATTGCAGACAACAGGATGGTCAGGTTGGATATCAAGCGAGCGGTCCAAAACCAGGGCAGAGTCATCAGTTCGGACTTCCTGGACAACAGCTTCACGCGGCCGCAACAGCAAATCAATGCCTCTATCCGGCTGAGTTTTGATGTCCTGAAAGATCATGTTTGGGTTACGTTCTCTACGCAATTTGGCATACGAGCGGGATGACTTCTTGAGCTGGGCTTCAAAATCTCTCACAGCCAATGCAACAGATTCAAAAATTTTGGTAGCCTGGTGCACATCCGGAGGGAACATGGGGATGTGCGACAAAGCTCCATGGACACGAAATTTACATGTTTCCCACCATTGGCAAAATGAAGGCAAAAACCCCTTGGCCCGGATAATGGAACCCCAAACAGCCAGAGCATGCGGGTGATCTGAGCTGTTACCCTGCACAAAATGAACAAACGATTGAAGACGCCGAACCTGCCTAACCCACTGGGCATGCCTGAAGGATGCACACAAAAATTGAGGTTTGAAGTCGCCTCGTCTGCCATTTTTAACTGGTGCCAACTTACCTGCAATCACTGCTTTGGTGGTGGTGGTACATGCTCTACCCAAGCTGTGTTTGGAAGCAGGAAAAGGAAGGGCCTCCACTGCACGTTGCTCAATGTGTTTCCAAACCATTGCATACCGTTCATCCAATGTGCCTGAAGTGTGACGCCAAACATCTGGAGCCACATCCCATTCCTTCGGCCAAACAAAATCGGAGGGCATGGGCCAAATGTATTTCGGGATCGAGCAAGACAACTTCCGAAAAACTCCTTGCAATACCGCGTGGTCTGGCCAAATGTCATGTTCAACACTAGAGCCAATCATGAGTGCTTGGAGTTCAGGTGACAAATACAGGAAGTCTTTCCGTGTTTTACGCTTACAAGTGGCTTGGGGTTGGATTCCCCACCTTTCCCAAGCAACTTCTTGGACATCACGGAAACCAAAATTGTGGAGCAGGTCAAAAACTGGAAGGCTATTTGGAGAAATGTTCCAATCTCCAGCCACAAACCTGGGTCCGGCTGAGAGAGCACAAACTTGCCCAGCAACTGATTGTAAAAGAGCTTCGTTGTGTTGCTTGTGGCACGGGTAAAGATGTCCATCTGGTTCCCCATAGACCACTCCCCCTGTAATCCAGAGGTCATTCACCAAAGTGGCAGCAACTACAGCTCGAGACGAGTCATAAACCTCCTGAGGCCCATGTGTAGGCAAAGCTCGAGTTGGATATTGAGAGAGCAATGCAACCCCTTTCCAATGGCCATGGTGGGTTTGGGATGTCTGAGCCGGAACATGGTTGCCAGTGGTCACATATTTGAATGGACTATCTGCAAAACGCAGGCCAGCTTTGAACTCATGGAAACCCTTTTTGCACAAGTGAGTTTCTGAAACTGCCCAAATGTCTCCATGAGAAAGGTGAGCAGCAATGTAAGGAGCTTTACTGGGCAATCCCGATGGATTGAAAGCACCAAGTACAAAATTGTCATCAGGTGATGGGCCGGGATTGGAAGCTTCACCTAAACGACATCCAAAAAGCAAAATCAAAATTCCCCATAGGGAGCGAAAGTGAGGTCGACCATATGGCTTTCGACGGCACACAGCAATCGAAGGGAACAGCCAAATACATGCAAAGGGGCTCAGGGCACACATCATACCAAAGAAGAAACAAATGGCCAGACAGACCATGAAAGCAATGTGCCCTTGCCCACACCATCATTCAAACTCATCTCGCGGGCGCTTTGAAAGTAGCCCTCGTATTTGTTCCATTTGCTGGGCGAACATTGATTGGATCGCTTGACTTTGATTTTCCATGTGTCCATGCAACTGCTGGCCCTGCGAGTTGATTTGCATTTGCATTGCAGTCAATTGCTGACCCTGTTGAGAGGAAAATTCATGAAATTGTCCTTCGAGGCCTTGCTGCTTTACCATCAACTGCTGGACCTGTCCTTCCAAGAAACTCATGCGCTCTGGCATATCATCTTCCATGGCCGGTGCAGGTAACTTAGCCAGGACTGCATCCTGAACTCGTCGCTCAAGCTGCTGCAGACTTTCAGTGTTGTCCGTGTGAGCCGACGTACTTGGCTTGAAGCCACCCCATGGGTCTTTGGTGGTCCACGGATCTTGATCCATTGCCGTCTTGTCAGCATGTGCACCACACAACGCAAGTGTAGCCGCAGAGGCAACTGGAGCTTGCACTGGGGTCTTACCAATAGGCTCAGGCTTATGACGTGTGATCACCACTTCACCATGAGATGTCGGGATGATTGTGTTCGAGGGAACCTCAACCGCTTGAACAATCCACATAGAGCCTTTGCCTGGCATTGGGATCGAAGGTTGAAGTGGACGACATTCCCATCCAGCCTGCTTCATCGCCTTTCCGATTGCATGTCGGTCAATTCCGAATGGAAAGGGGCCTACCAAAAACAAAGCCCTCTGGCCCTGTGGAAGATATACCGTATCTGGTTTCAGCAACTTGTGAATGACAGATGCCTGAGCAGAGTGAACTCGGACTCCCCTTCTGTCACCAACTCTCGCAATACCGATAATTGCTGGGTTAGTTTGTTTGAGGTGCAAGAGTTCCTGTACATTCATTTTCGGCGACCATACAACAGTGTATTCAGAAAGGATTTCGGTTCCATCTGCAGTACGAGGTTCTCCATAGGCACCAGCTGTGCCGCTCACTCCCAAAAGACCTTCAAGGATCTGCGATGGGACTCGCAAACAGACGGAAAAAATGTCCGCTTTCTCCATTGGTGCAGGTTTGAATCCAATCCGAAGAAACTGCCTCCTCCAGACATCCAAAATGGGTTCCTTGATACCCAAATTTTCAGGGTTGTGCCACATCTCACAAGTGCATCCTGCGTCTTGGCATCTCCGCAGGAGTGGGACAGCATTGACAAGAAACTTGATAGGAGCTTTGCAAAACTCCTCCCAGGAACATGGGATTTCATCACGGTAAACCAGGTATTTCACCGTCACAACATCCAGGGTCTCGAGCTCAACCAGGTCAGCACCTTGATGCTTTTCAATGATCCCTTGGCCAATCTGAACAAGAGTTGCATCGGCAAGGACAGGCTCCTTATCTACTGTGCATCGACAAGGTACCGTGATCAACTTGTGTGGCAACGCAGTGGTAACAAAAACATCTGGCCTGTGCAAAATGGCAAGGGCAAGCGGTTCTGATGACACACACTGAGCAGTTCGGAGGTACGGTTCAGCTTCTGCCAGTGTCATCAGGATGACACCAGAGCTCACTGGTCCAATTTGTTTGACATGGATTTGAGGGATCACACGTCCATGAGCACGAAAGATGCCATCCACCAGCTGTAACTTCCCTGGATCAAGGTCCATGGGTGCCTGGGTCTTACCTGACTGTTTACCTTTTCCTTTGCCACCTGGTTGGGTTGCCTTATTCTCAACAACTTGTGCAAGCTCAGAGGGCAAAACAAACTTGAATTTCTTTTGATTACCCAAGGTTTTCAACTGACGCCACGGTTGGCGTTGTTTCATCGCAGTCAAAAGCTGTTCACTACCAATCACACGGATTGCATCATTTGCGCGGGACTCCGCAAGGTGAGGTGGGACTCCATGCTGCGCAAGTTCAGGAATCAGATCTTTCAACAAAGTTCCATTAGGACCAAAGCCGACACAACCAGTCAAATTGAAACATGATCCGCCAATCAAAAAATCAGTCTTCAACTGGCAATGAAAACTTTCAAGGGTTTCCTGGCATGTGTTGATTTCAAGGAGTCCAAGCAGGCCTGCAATCACATAAATCGAGTGAGCACCACACAACATCTGCGAAGGGCCATCAGCAACCCGGTGGAGGACCACCTCAGAAACCTTGGGAATGGCAGCGAAAATATCCTGCTCAGAATCGCAAGGGACAAACAAACGAACAACATTCGGTGTCCGAACTCCAAGAATCGGGATCCAATGATTCCTGACCAATGCAACTTGGAATAGCCGACTGCTGGTGCCAGCAATGAATTCGTCCAAGTTCGTTTCAAGCGCATGCAAATCTTTCGAAATGTGAATCCTGGGCTGGGCAAAAGTGCAATCAGCTCGGTGGGCAAACCACTGCAGCCTCTTGATATGGAAATCAACCTCAGCAAAATCAAGAGCCACCGTTTGCAGACATTCTGCCTGCGCTTGTTGACTCTGCCACTGGGCACACGGCAGATCCGAGACACTTGAATTGATGTTTGACCACCCAACCATTTTTTGGACTGCTTCCCAATCAAAGGTACTTGGGGCCAGCAGAGAGCTGCTGTTCTCATGGACCTGGTCACCATTGAGCACCTGTGATTTCTAACAAAATGCATCCGAAAAAGATGTCGGCACGCAGGGCATTATAGGGAGTTGCCCTGATTCCCATGTGGACAGGCCATTCCCCCAAATTACTGGTGCAGGGACCTCCAATTTGGAATACAAATCAGCTACAAAAGCAGCTCGCATGTTTGTGTGCAGGACTGAGAGTTCCGGCAAAGACTCAGGCAATCGTGCACCATGCACAACATGTGCCAGAAACATCATTGCAAACGCACCACACATGTCATGGGCAGGCAATCCAGATGGGATGATGCGCAGGGCAAACAAAGAGAAACCCAACTGCTGGCCAATGCATGCACAAACATCACGGAATTTATGAGCATCCACCACTTCATGCGCAAATGTATGGAAAGTTATGCAGTCTCCTCTTGGCACAATCCAAAAAGGGAACCAGTGGTTTTCCAACAAAAAAGCTGTGAGGATTTGCTTTCCCTGTGTCTTAACTTCAGGGTTACGAGCACACCACCTGGCAGAGATAGTTCTCCCAATGGAATCCCAGCAAGTAAAAACCAGTGGCTCGAAGAACAAATACTGAACCAAAGGGACACGGTTTTGGACAGAAAAACTATCCCGATACCGAGAAATGATGTGCAAGATGTGGAATCTGATTTCATCATCAGCAACAGCATTTTGGTGGGTCCCAATGAGGTCAATTCTCTGATCTCGAGTCAAGGAAACTGGGATTTGCACTGTGTCAGCCAAGTTTGATGGTTGGCTACTCCCCTGGGGTGGATCACCTGCAGCCCAAATCCACGGTCGCCTGGTGATGTCACATGATGAGAAAGACTTGACAAATTCACCTCGATACAACAAAAATCTTTGTTCTGTTTCTGCTTGACTGGCCGGCAGTTGAACCTGAAGCAACATGCTGTGCAGGTACGCTATGGCCAGTGTCCCACAGAGGTCAGATGTGAAGAACATGCGGCGATCACGCTGGGTACAAACTGTAACAAAGCCTACCGCCAGTCCAATTCTCTCAATGACTGAGTTCAAAGGAATGTGGTCAATTCCATCAGCATCCCAAACGAACACGTTCAACTGATCCCCCATAGGTTGCATGAAAACTGGTACCCAGTGTGATCCCAACTTGAACACCGTGGCAACAGGCAGAGATTGAGCATGAATAAATCCATGGTCTTTTCCCCAATCTTCACATGAAAAGGCCTGGTCTTTGAGCCATGCAGAAGCAATGAGCGGGTCAATGGTGACCAGGTTCTTCACGGGGTCTTTTGAAAAGTGAACTTGGGCTTCCATGTATTTCTGTGTCAAGGCAAACAAGTGAAATCTGATTTCATCATCGGAAGTGATTGTTCCTTGATTCTGCAGGATGGCAAGTCTGTCTTGGACTTTCAAAAACTGATTTCTCACTGACCACAATTGCTGTGGTGTCACAATGTGCGGTGTTGACAGCATGAAAAATTGTTCACCTTTCAAACCCTTCAACGGCTCAGCATTGAGCCATTCTGGCTGGTCACTCATCTGTGCAATCGTGCATTCCCCAATGTCATAAACGGAAGGCTTTCGGCTGTGCTCAACAATCGGCTGTGTCCATGCAGCAGTAGGTGAAACGTCTGGATCAAGGCAGGTAGACTGGACAGTTTCTGTTGACTTAGTCAGCGAAACTGATGTGACATGTTGCATGACAGGCTGTTCCAAATGCACAAAAATCATCTCACCAACCGAAAGACAATGGGACGGGGACAAAGGGTGACCATTTGATCCTACCAGCTTCGCATGTGCATCAAGCAATTCTTGAACAGTGGAACCAGCGAGAGGGTTCAGTTTCACCGGTGCATGAAAATCATCATCAAAAATCACTGTGCAAAACGCAGCATCAAGGTCAGGGCATGAGTCAGATACCAAATGCGGGCTTGGAAATTCCATCCAAGGCGTTTCAAGCTCTTGCATTTGCTGATCTGCTGCTTCCTGGTCAGGTAACGATTTCTCCAACAGGAGAGGGTTCTCACGGAAAAGGAGATCCAAAATGGCAGCAATGGTCACATGGCCATCAATCTTTGTTGTCCATCGATGTGGGAACATTAATTCTTCCAACGACAAATGGTCAACACCTTTCCAACAATGCAAAAGGGAAGTGAACTTGGCAATACGTGCATCATCCTCTGTCGGAGGCCAAACTTGGTTGCATTTCATGACAAGCCAAGACATGTATGCTTGGAGTTGGGTCTCAGCAGAAAAATCCACTTTGCCATAACGCAACTCATTGAGGCAAGTCAAAATTGCTGCCATGACCCACATCACCTGCAGTGGGCTTGCAAGCTGCCCAACGGCTGATAAGGTCAAACGTGGGTTCAGTCCAAAGTCTAATGTCGGATCCATTCCGTTGAGTGCCTGGGCTTCACAAGGGTGTACATGTCTCATGCGTGAACCATCAATACATTCAGGTGCACTTTGCACAAGCAAACCATACAAGCCTTTTTCCGCCAGTCTGTGAGATGACAGTCCCTGTTGCCGGCATCCGCAAGGGCACGGAAGTACCTGGTTTCCCCATGCGTGCAAAGCACAAGGTGCGGTACCATGTTTGTTCATGACATACTTGGAAAAATCTCCGTTCTGGCCCCCAAAAGCATACTGTTCAGCATCCGTGAGTTGGAGGGCCTTCTCATCATCACTATCCCATGGCAGAATACGTGGAATCAAATGTTCAATAGTTGGAACCACATGCAAACATTCAAGTTCAGGAATATGAACCTCACCAATCAGCGGTGACGTCAAAACCCACCATGACCTGTTACGTTTACAGGGCCAAATTTGATCCAACTTCATCGACCGTTGCATGCATGAAAAACCCGTGACTGTGCAAAAGTAAGCCAATTCAGACTTCACAAATAGGTCATGGGCTGCCGGTGCAACACACTCCAGCACAACGATTTGAGATCGGAGATAAAACGCAGAATGGAGCAGTTTGGTCAAGCAACTTGATCTCGGGTCAGCCGAGCTTTTGCCGTCACCGAGGGACGAAAATGGCTGGCAGCTGAAGCCTCCTGTCAAAGTTCTGGAGCCACAAGCCTCCTTCCACACCTTGCAAATGGTTGACGTGTCACCTACATCACCCAAGACTGTTGGCACATTGGATACCATGGAAAAAAGGCTCAACATTTTTTCATTGTGATCCACGGCTACAGAAGTGTGAAATCCACAGGGAAGAATGCCCTGTGTGAATCCTCCGAATCCACTGCACATGTCTATGACTGACATCAGGGAGTCCCAAGTCACCTCTCTATGTCCCAAAATGCTGCTACATGGAGTCAACGCAACAGAAGGAACAGGGTACTGCGAAATCAGTTTGGCATCCATGATGGAGTAGCTTTCAAATCCTGCTTCCAAAAGTCCCGCCAGAAAAAACTTCTGATTGGATGGAAATGCAGTCATGATGTGTCGATCGTGTTCAAAGTCAAATACCAGCATAGAACAAACCAGAGAAATTTTGGAACCTTGGTCCAGCAAGCTCCAGTCCATAGGGTACGAGCGCGCCATGGCAAATGAGTGTTCACACCTGCCCACGTTTGGCCTGCCCGGCCGAACCCTCTGGGAGGCTTGGGCCTCTCGGCTGTTCCAAACCGCCAACCAGACTATGTTTTGGCAACACAAATGTTTGTGGAAGGCTCAGCCGAACTTCTTTCTGGGAAACCCCAAGCTCCATTTGAGAATGAGATTCCCAGTTCATGGCTTATAATCATCCCCAATATATAAAGGCTAGTACAATCCCCTAATCATCAACCAACTATCATGTATCAGTCATATCCCCATCTGTTTCAATGTTGAAAAGCCCCATAAAATCAATCCCTATTTGATGGTTAGATCCAAGATAAATCCCAGATACCCCTATTTTTCATGGGTAAATCCACGAACTAAATGGCCATTTTCAATAGCAAACTGTTAGTTTACCAGGCCGGGTCAATCCCAGTAAATCCCATGAAAGATCCCATTACTTCCCACTAAGTCACCATAAAATCCCAGTAAAATCCCAGTAAAATCCCATGACAAGTCATTAAGTCATCTCGGGTATCCATTGAATGTTCCGAATCACCATATATAAATCCCATAAAAATCAGATAAATCTCATATACCCTCTGGTTATTTGTTACATAGCAAACCGTTAGTCAGAACCAGAGGGTTACCATCCAACATCCTCCAAATCCCACATAAACCAGATAAATATAGATAAATCCCATATAACCATCCAACATCCTCCAACAAAACATGTTCAGACGCCTCTCGTCTCCCATGAACTGCCACTGGCCATCTGGCCCACAGGTGGCCGACCTTTTGGGATGGGAAGCGATCCCCCGGGATGGGGGAGATTGAAACAAGGGATTCCCATGACGGATCCATGGTGCTGCTATATATGGTAACATGGATCCCATCAATATACCCCAGTCATGTTAGCATATATACCAGCACCATGGATCCTATGGGATTGGGAACATTGAAACCTGAAACTCCGGAAATGTTCCATTCATGGTTTTTTCCCATAAAAAATCTGGGAGTGTTCTGCAATGATCCCTTAATCTGATTAATCTATTGACTGATGCAACAAACAAACTTGACAAACAAGAGAAAATGAAACAGTTAGGCACGTGGGTCGTTATCTTTATCGATTTGGAATGAAATATCCCCAGGTATATGGATCATGAGCCACTGCGATGCACATCCCCGTTCATGTTTGCCACATCCCCAGAAACCATCCGTTTAGCAGTTTTTACATACATTGGGAACATGAAGGCGGTGTTTTATACTAGGATATTATTGTTTCCTTCAAATTCTGTGTGACCTGTTCATGATTTGTGTGATGAGAATGGATTGGAAGCGCGAAAGCCAGTGAAAGTACCAAGGAAAAACAAATCATTTTGTAAAGATGGTAATTATGAATGCTGGAACAGTGAAACCATACTTCAACACAACATTGTATGTCACAGAGGAGATCTTTGAACATGTTCACCACCCACATACTATATGATATCTGTATTGTATTGGAGCAAGGCAAACAGTTTTGCAGGTTCCTATTTGGGACATAAGGCTATACCCCACGTTTTGGCGGCATATAGTCGGTGATTTTTTTCCAGCAGAGTACCCAAACGTCATTCACTCTCAGCTGATGTCACATACATAGGTCTCAAATCATTTACACTCCGAAAGTAAGTATAGTTTCTACATAATTCTACAAGGTGGTGCCCCCCAGTTGGTTTATAATCCCACTAACTATAGATATATCACCTATAAACCATGATTATTGGAGTTATGTGCACCAACTTAGCTATCGAACGGGGGCACCACATAATTCTAGGTCCGAAAAACATGATAACAACATGTTGTGGTTTCAACAGTTTTGTCACCATTTGCTCATTGAAATGGCTACCAATTCGGGTATCCGGTATCCACCACATTTTTTTAAACAAACCCAAATATAACGTTTGGGCTATAATATATAATATATATATATAAATAATATATATATATGTATATATATATGTATGTATATATAAACATTCACTCCATTCTCTTTTTGAAACGTTGCAGACCGATTTTGTCAAAATTAAATGGTAATTCGAACACATAGGATCTTTTCAATGGTACCTGAACCATTTCCTGGGCGCAGTGTTCTTCTTCCGGCCATTCCCGGGAAGGAAAAACACCCCCCTAGTGCCCCTTGAGGACCCCGCCATTCCGAGGTGACCCCCAAGCCCGCGACACTTAAGATCCCCAAAAATGAGAAAATGAGAAATCACCGCGCAAAAATGCACTGCGCCCCCCCCCCAATTTTTTACGAACCTTCAACTTGGTTTGGTTCTTTCCACGTCCCCCAGCCCTTCGACTGGAAGACGAATGCTCAAGCGATGGCAGGGATGATTGCCACATAGAAAAAATATGGTGAAACGGGTGCAGAAGTTTCCTAGGGATTTGAATATCAGAGAGCATGGCAAGGCCAGAATTTAAATAGATTTTGGCGGTCTTTATTGCTGTCCACCGACCAGCAAGCAAGACTCGATCCAAGGACCCACACTTAGTGAACAAGTAAGTGGCTCCACCCCGCCGTAAAGAATACGGTCGAAAGTGCCAAGAGTCTAACTTTAAACTAGTTACACATTCAGAAAACATGGCCCGCCACACATGTGGCTTTGAGGTCAGGAAATCATGGGGTTGCGCAGAGCGCTTCCAAGTCCAGAGCCATCTGAGTACGGATTTCTCAGTGAGTGTAATGCTCTCTGCCGCTCCATGGCGCTTGCCAGACTTCGTCAGGCCAAGGCTGATAACAGCTGGAGAGAAACTGCCTGTAATGTTGACTTGCCATGCCTGGATTCCCAACAACTCTCCGGTACGGAGAAGGCCATGAAATGCTACCAGTAAGCTCAGGCCAAACTCATAATGCTCGTGCATGACAGCCCAGTCAACCATAGCTGTCAAGACTGATTCACTGAGTGGAGGGGCCCGTTGCGGCACCTCATTTGCATTCCAAGTGCAAAGCAATCTCCAGCATCCTGGGAGACATCCTTTTAACTTGGGATCAGCGTCCTGCAATGCTGCTAAAACATTACTGGCCTCTGCTCTCCCTTCTCCCTCACTCCAGAGAAACTCGATGTAGTCGCTAACCAAGCCATCCATCGTATCTCTCTGCTTTGGGAGGGTAAGGCCCGTGCCAGATAATTGAAGAAGCTTTCCAGTGATCCTGCATAACGCTCCCTGGTTTTGGGCTGGACAGTTAAACTCTTCAGCGTACCTAATGTCTTTCGAACTCGTTTTCGCTCTTCTTTGGCCTGGTCCCCTCGACTCAGAGTTTTCTTTTTAACCATCGTTTCTTAATGCCCCAGCGGGATGGTTTATCCGCTGGGTTTTGCGAGGATTCAATGTAGCCCCACACGGGCTGGAGACCTGTGGCCAATAAGAGCGAGCCAATTCGCATTACGGTACGCCTTAGTTTCTTGGATGAAGACCTGCCCCTAGTGAGGCAGTGGAGCACTACTAAACTGTCCACCAAGTGCACGAAGCGGGTATCCTGTTGCTTCAATTGGGCGGCTCTCCACTTCAAGGTAGTCAAGCATGCCCGCGCTTCAAGCACATTGATGTGCTCGGGACTGCCTGTCCACTGCCACCCAGACACTATTCGCCATCTCCACAATGACCCTGGTATGCTCGCCCGAAGGCGATGATAACGCACTGGAATTTCTGTACCTGACTGGATCATGATGTCTTCGCCCTTCAGGGAGGTGAGGCCCGCCAACTTCTGTACCAGCACGGTGCTCAGAGGAAGAGTAGTTGTCGTGTGCCCAAAAGGAGGTCTTGTCAGCAAAGCTGGGAGGGAACCTCCCTTACCTGGAGTGAGGCGACCTACAAGCTCTGCTAAGGCAATCGGCTCTATCAGCCCCAATGGTGCCAACAATTGGCTGACAAGCCATGCCACCACAACCACATTCCAAGAATTTCCAAGCAAACTAAGCCGGCAATCTTCATGCTCCAAAGTACCCTGCTCTGCTTTACGCAGGCATTGGGAGGTGTAACCAATGGGAAAACCCAATATGGCCTCCCGTTCTCGCACGTTAGGAGGCCTAGCCTCCCCTCTGTGCCATATGCAGTTGGCATCCTTGTACTGGTACGGGGGAAATCTGTGTCGGTCTTGCCTCCACCTGTCAACTTCATGTGCCTGGCAGCTTTTAAGCCCCGCAGGTTTCCTCATCGGGACCGGAGAAGGCCTCGATGTTGTAAATGTTGGCAGCTTATCACCCATCAATGTGCCACCGGGCTCCAAGAACGCCGATGCTTCAACATGGGAGGACAGTTGCACCTCCCCTTGGACAGGCAACCGGCCATCTGAGCCCCAAACCAGTAGCGCACCTTCACTGTTGCGAAGCTCCCAGTCCACCCAGTAGAGTCTTGGTCTGTGGGCCAGCCCAATGCCAGCTGCGTCAATGAACCAGGGCTCCATGTCATAGGCCTCGTTCATTACCTGACAATCCTTGAAGTCCATAGAAGCTACATTCTCCGCCAGCGCCTTCACCTGGGCCCACGGAAAATGCTTCTTGCACAACGCCGTAATCCTGGGTACATGGGTGAAAAGGCAACTCCTCATATCCCGCAATGCCCCCTTACGGTCGGCATTCAAGCCTGATACTCCCTGGCAGGGAGGTCCAGCTCCCACCAGGACAAGCCCAGCATTACTGAATTTAAGGCTCCACTCCAGTACCATGGCGTCGTCCACCGATTGGACATCATCGACCACCAGAGCATCCGGGAAATTGGCTTCCATGACTCTGCGGGCCTTGTCATTGGATTCCACCGAGATGTGCCCGGCTACCGGCGCCTGCAAAACGTCAAGCGCCACCCGAAGGGCCGCTATCCCGTCAAACAGGCCGATGGAAAGAACTTGACAGAAGTCGTGTTGTTCAGGGATATCACCCCTAACCGAGCTGAGCGCCGCACACACCCCATAGGGAGTAAGTCCATGCGACATGCAAAATCCCCCTCCTGTCATGGAGGCGTCACTGGCAGTGACCACACTGTCGAAGCCCTGCCTAAAGTCCATCACTGCCAGGGGCACCAAGCCCAGGAACCGAACCAGTTCTGCCATCACCTCCCTCCGCAAGGGAAAACGCTGGCCCCGTGGAGCCCCTTCGAGGCTCACAATGGCCTGCCAGATCTGGTTTAAGGCCGCTAGCAGCGGACGCTTAAACATGGCAATGTAAACCAGGCCGCCCCCAATCACTTGGAGCTCCTTTTGACTGGCCTTCCCTAAACGGAGGGCTTCCAGCGTCAAGGCAACATACTTTGCCACCTTACTTGGCTTAGCTGACATGGTACCCAAATCCCCATCGATCCAAGCTCCTTGAACTTCCGCAGCAGCTTTCTGCTGCACTGACTTCTTGGGGTGAGTTGGGAGGCCAGCCTTTTGATAGGCCTCCCGTAATGCCACTACATTGGCTGAAGGGGTCCCACTGACTAACTCATAGGTGCGCTTGTCAAGCTTCCGGAGCTCATCAAAGTTGTCTAAATAAACCCGAAAAAGTTCCCCTTTTTGACTAAAGGCCCTGTCACGCCGCAATTCACCCTCAGCCCCCACGGGCGGGTAAAGCGACCCCAGGCACTTCCGCACGACGTTACGGTGAATATGTTGTGCAATGGCCACACTATTTAAAAACCCCATAGGTAAAACCCGACTACACAATACCCACTCCTCAGAACGCTCCTCTACTGGTATCATCCTACTTGGGAGGACCTTTCCAAACCCCAAGTACTTGTACCAGGCCTCCGGGATCGCAAACAAGTAGAAGTAGCAGCGCAAGTCCTCAGAGGAAGTGGATAGGAGTTCCCCATCATCCAAATAAAGGGCAGCCATCTGGGTTACCATAGGCAAAGTACAAGTATCACCTTCAAGTGGTCGTGTCAGCTGGTTCAGTGGCTTGAGGTTCATGATCAAGCGACACAATTCAATGGGTCCCTGAAATTCCTCTTTGCTAACCGAGAATAAACCATTGACCAGCGGGGATAAACCAACATGATGTAGTTCCGATAGTTTCCGACGCACACAAATGCCCCGATCAAGAAGACCTCTTGCCAAGGATTCCCATGAATCATCATCCACAAAAACTCGGGGGGGCTTGCCAATAAGTTGGTCAGAAACAGGAAGAAGGTAGTTCTCAAAATGGGCCACATAGTGCAAAACGCCACCTTCACAGAAGTCACGTAAATCGAATTCACCCACATGAGCAGGAAGTGACGCTTCAATACTTTCCCAAACCACTTTCCGAGCCAACCGGATTTCTTCCCCTCGGTAATCAACCCCTTTCACTGTGAACAGAGTGGAAAAGTCAACTTTAACTAAGGGCTCCCTGAGGATTGAGGACGTCTCCAAAATCGACCGCAATCTTTTCATGGCTCGTATGGAGGACGGCCGGCCTCTGTCTGAGTTTTGGACCCCGTGCATACTGTTGAGGCACGCAGCCACTACTCTCAAAAACTCCGAGCCTTGGGCCGCTACAATAGGATGTCCTGAGACAGGTAGTGGGAAGATGTCTCTTCCTCCTGCCTTGGTCCGAGGTCTGCAACATCCGTTTTCTTCAAGGAGCATCAGAACATCCCAAAGCAACGGGCCCACATCGCCTACCTTGCAGACCGCTTCAGGCCCACTAAAGAAGGCGTCGATCGCTCTCTGAACTGCACCCCTCAGATTTTGGGAGTGAGCTTGCACACCGCTCAAACTCCCCTGACTCGCCTTCGTCGAATTCAAAGATGTAGTTTGGGAGGCCCCACCCGCCACAGATGGGGCCATCCCCTGTGCTGCCTCAGCATCATGTTGGGCTTGCTCAATCAGAGCCTCAACATCGCCAAGGGTGATACAATCATCGCCAGATCGCCACTCGCTGCCAGCATTGTCGCCACCCATAGTCACCACACCTGCCGCTGCATCCTCATCAGGGGACGCCATTGCCATCACTTCCGCATCAGCCAAGGCCCTCTTCTGCGGTCTGCTGCTAGGTTCTGCCCTTGGGAGGCCTGCCTCCCTTCTCTCCTCACTACTTCCTCCCGGCATTCTTGGCGTCATCTCGCCCCCGCTGCTCGGCTCCTCTGCCTTTGCCTCCTTCGTCGGGCTTCCCCTTGCTAGCAGACTTCCCTTTTCGGCCTTTGCCGTCATAGACCTGGGCCCCTCCTTTACCACTCGGCGCCTTGGACAGCAGGTTCTTCAGGCGTTCTTCTTCCCGCGCTCTTCGGGCTGCCCCCAAGGCTTCACTACCTTCAGCAATGGAGTACTGGTCATGGCGAACCAATTCGAGCTGTCGTCCCGTGGACCAATGGGAGCCCTTGGCCACCGCCTCAAGGGATTTGATACGCTGACACAAAATGTCAGCTGCACCAGCTATTTTTCCCATGAGCAAGTAGTCCACGGCATGCGCCAGCGTCATCAATTCCTGTGACATCGCCGGCGAAATTGCGTGTGGCTGGACCACCTGCTGACGGCAATATTGAGTGAAAATAGCTGGGACTTCCACCTGGTGCACGTTCCACAAGGTCCCCGTCTGGTTGAGGAGACCTTGACGTGCTTCACGCACACCCCCAGCCGTGAGAGCTCCTGGGCACCGCTTCCAGATCTTGGCCAGCTTGGTGTCCTCGCCAAACAAACCTGACTCACCCCCTGAAGTGGTACTTGTGCTGCTCGAAGATGTGCTCTCAGCCCCCTCCGTGCTGGAAGAGCTTTTCTTTTTCTTTTTCTTCTTGGACTTGCCCAAACGCTTGGCTCGCTTCAGGACCTTCTTTCTCCTCACAGGGTCAGGGTCCAGCCCCGTGCTGGAGTACACATCCTCCAGCGCTTTCTGGCCTGTCTCTAAATCGCCTTGCTGCCTTTTGGGAGGTCTCAGACCCCTCCCTTCACCAGCACCTGCTTCATCACCTCTGCGCTTCTTCTTCTCCTTCTTGGCCGCCTTCTTCTTGTCCACCTCTGCGTCGGCACGGGCTTTGTCTTGTAGTTCCCTCAGCTTCGCCATATCATCAGGCTCCCTCTCAGGCACTGGTTCTACAGCCACCAAATTGGTGAGCCATGGCAACCGCTTCAAGTCCACTTGTTGCACCGTCCTTCCATGGATCAACAGGGGATCCGTCAAGCTCCCGGCACAGTCTTCAGGGCATAGGTGGATACTCAGCAGCTTGTCAGGAGTGCCGCTGAGCACCCGCAACAGCTCATCATCCTTCGTCCCTGTGACGGCCAGCTCAGCAAACATCTGCCCCTCCTCAAGACGCGTGCCATTCATCCTTCCTGCAACCTGGACCAGTCTGCCATAGTATCGGGCATCTGAAAGATACACCGCACCCAAACCCTGGAGCTCCTGAAGGGTAAGGCTATGCAGCGCCCGGCCCTGCTCATCTGCAGCCCTCTCGACCTCAGCAGCTGCAAGCGCCGCAGGGCGTCTGATGCCACGGACTCGGGCGGCTGGTCTTCTGAGCGCCCTCTTGGGAGGCATCTCTCCCTTCAGCGGCGCCTGTCTCTCCTCTTCCTTTGATTGAAGCGCTCTTGCTTCGCGCGCTTAACCACTCCTTTGTTCTCAGATTGCGTCCACCTCGGATGATCACTCCGGGGGACTGGGCCAACCCAACCCCTACCCCTTGGAGGGTAACGTGGGGGGTATTGCGGCTCCGGAGGCCGAGCTGAGTAGGACCTGTCCGGAGGAGGCCCCTCAGGTTCGGGTGGCCTTTCTGGGTGGCTTTTGCGTTCTCGGCGGTCTCGATGGCAACCTCTGGGAGACCTGGTGCCTCCCCTCTCTCTGGATGAAGCCCTTCTGGACCTGCGTCGACTGCGGCTTCTTCTACTCCTGCTTCTGCGGCTGGCTTTCCGACCCCGTGACCTTTTCGATCTCGAGCGTCTATGGCCTCTGGATGACGAGGCTGGCTCTGCTGGCGGTCTTCCCTCTGGTTCTGCTGGCGGCCTCTCTTCTAACTCAGCTGGTGCCTCTTTCTTGACCTCCTCTGGACGATCTGGATGTAGCTCCTTGGGAGGCTCGCACGGCTTCCCCTTGGCAGTGGCCCCAGCCGGTTCCGGCTCTGCCTTTTTGGGAGAGGAGGTGGTGGCGTCACCTCCTGTCTCCCCTGTCGCTGCCTTGGGAGCAGGCCTAGGCTCGTTGGCCTGAGTGAGCGAGGCCGGTGCTCCCCTTCGCCCAAGCTCGTCCCGGAGATCAGCCTCTAGGATCCGCAGGCGGTCTGAAGCCCACGGCACCCACCCCGGTGAAGGGGTCCCGAGTGCCACCAAAGCAAACACCCGGGGAAAACACGTAAAAAGGCCACACCCACAATTGTGAGCGTGGCCCCACGACATACCCTGAAAAGCCAGAGCTACGATCAAGACTACCATGGATTCATGTTTATCCCCGATATCGTAAGGACATATATATATATATACATATGTCCCACTCTTTCCCCAACCACTCCCACGTTTCTCTGGATTCCAGGTCTCCCAACGGTCGACCAGAGTAGCCCAGGTCGCATTGATATTCCACGGTCATGCCGCTGGTGTAGGTCTGGCCAATGGCTGGGCTGTGGCCAATGACGGATGCACATCATGTGATATGTCCCCTACCTCTTTGTGTGTACTATATATCACTGGTTGGTGGTATACCTACCCCTCTGAAAAATATGAGTTCGTCAGTTGGGATGATGACATTCCCAATATATGGAAAAATAAAAAATGTTCCAAACCACCAACCAGTATCATATGTGTGTATACAACTTACATGTGTATATGTTACATATGTATATATATGTATTGCTCATATATATTGCTCATATACATTGCCTTTCATGGCACTGCACTGCACTACGTTACAGTACTCGACATTGCACTGCACTACTTTGCATTACAGAGCATTACTGTACAATACCATACTACCATTGTGTTGCATTACATTATCCTACATAACATATAATACAACATAACACAACATAAGACAACATGCTGTACATACATCATACATTTGTTGGGTGCACGACCCTTCAGCAGAGAAATACAGCACAGAAAGTTTCCTAGCCTCTTGTGATAGTGGTGATGCAAAAAATCACGGGGATATGATCCCATAATATATATATATATATTTAATTATATAATACTAGTATCCTAGGTCGTATTGCAGAATCAAAAGCGTCAGAAGGAGTGAGACGAGTAGTAAAAGGAATAGGTCAGAAGCTGAAATCTATACACCCCCTCCAGAAAAAAACACTCGGTGGCTCACCCCAATTTGTGAGCTTATAAGATCTTATAAGCACAGTTATAACTAGGATAAGTAGGGATCGTCGAGTGAAAGCGGGGTCAACCTCCAGTAGTTTCAAACGTAGCTCGCTGGTTTTTTCCCAGAACCAATCCAAGGTGATGGCCCCCTGTTAACGCTAAGTTGACGCAGAGTTCACGACTGGTGAACTGTTGGGTTGATTCGGGGAATATCACGAACTACTGTAGATGGTTGGTTGCGAAATCCTGCACCACATAAAGGATGGTTGAAACCCTATAAATAATGGGATAAAGCATCTATCAACTGGTGCAGTAGTTTTCATGGGTTTATAAACTAACAAACATCACTGCACCTCGAAGTTGATGATGGGATCTGCATTCTCCACCTGCGATTCTCCGATTTCCCCTGAAACCCCAATGATAGTACCCATGACGGATCCATGGTGCTGCTATATATGGTAACATTGATCCCATCAATATACCCCAGTCATGTTAGCATATATACCAGCACCATGGATCCGTCATGGGGTATATGGATGTATATGATGTTCTAATAAGACGAGCAGGATGTCATCAGAATCTAGACGTACGTTGAGATTCATCAAGCCGCTGCCAGAAAGAGCCGGGATAGGCTGGGATCATTCGTGAAAATCGAAGCCCTGGATTGAGATTACCCTCTGGTAAACATAGAAAAAACATCAAAAAACGATGGAAAGATCCACCATTTTATAGCTGGGTAAATCAACTATTTCGACTGGGCCATTTTCAATAGCTATGTTAAATTACCAGAGGTTATATCCCCAAATCCACTGGTTTAAATCATTATGGTATAACCCACATTGAAAGTCCATCCATATTTTTTATGGGGGGAAGTCACACCATTTTCAGACACACCCACACCCATAGGATCCATGGTGCTGCTATATATGGTAACATGGATCCCATCAATATACCCCAAATGTTAGCATATATACCATACATGGATCCTATGGGACATGAAAGAACATTGTCCAGGTTTGGAAATTTCAGTTGATGTCTTGCCTTATCAATTAGCTATGTCACCTATCTGGGTGAATGATGGTGAATGATTATCGTTCCAGAAATAAAGCTATCTCCCTATCATTGCCCACCCCCTGTCTGGTCCCAATGATGTGGAAATTCCATGAACTTTCCCAATAAACCATGGTTTCTAGGGCTGTTGAAAAAATTGGGGGGCAGGGATTTTGCACCTTATTCAACCTTACTACCCTCTGGTAATTTAACATAGCTATGGCAAATCACCATTTTATAGCTGGGTAAATCCACTATTTCTATGGCCATTTTCAATAGCTTTTTGTATGTTTACTAGAGGGTAAATCCCAGTAAATCCCATGAAAGATTAGATCCCATGAATTCCCATGACAAGTCACCATAAAACACCATGAAAAATCCCATATATGAATTGAGTCACCATAAAATCCCAGTAAAATCCCATGACAAGTCACATTTTGAAACACCATGAAAAATCCCATTAATATCATCTGGTTATTTTTTTATGCATACCAGAGAGTACCACAGCTTTTCATTGCTCACCTCCCTCCCAGGGCTCCCACCTTCCGTGGAGCTCCACAGCCAACCCTTTGGCAATGGCCAGACCTTGGTGATCTGAGTGATCTGACGGATGCTCCGCGATGGCCGGAAGGGAGTCGTGATGGCTCGCTTACGGAATCTTCGGAGAGTTGTATGGGATTTTTCATGGTGTTTTATGGTGACTTCATGGGAATTCATGGGATCTGATCTAATGGGATTTATCTGATTGACCCTCTGGTTATGACTAACAGTTTGCCATGGAAAGATCCACCATTTTTAATAGGTAAACCATCTATTTCTATGGGCCATTTTCCATGGCTATGTTAAATAACCAGAGGGTAACCAACAGCTGGAAGACACAACACGCTTCTAGCTGGCAACAAACACGGAAATTCGTTGAAAACAGCAAGCAGCGATTTTTTTGGCGGTGTGTCTGAAAATGGTGTGTTTCCCCAACTACCGACTGTAATGGAGAAAAAATTGATGAACTAATGGCTTTTAGGATTCTCTATTTCTAGACAAACCCAACTAGAGTCAAGAGAATGAGCCGCAACTATCTTGGATATGGGAATGTTTGAAAAAAAATGTGGTTTAATGGGAAAAACGATCATTACCGCATTACCCATCAAATTTGATACCTTACTTTTCGGACAAGCCCATACCACGAAAAAATAATCAAACACCATATTTATATATATGAATGTCAATGTGTTTTCATAGGTTTTGTATGGTTTTGTTGAGGCTTCAAAACAGTGAACCCCCTGAAATATTCGAGCCATTAAACATACCCCTATCGCATCCCATACTGGTTGGTCAGTAAGTATCCCTATTGCAGGTGACTTTCCATTCACCAAGAAACCACGTAGTACAAGCCCCTCTATTAACCATTCAACACAGTTATAACTATTGTAAATCAAATAAAAACCCATTCAAATCCCGTATTATCTCCATTTCTCTTGTTTAACTCAGCATTTTTCTATGGCTAACTCACCATTTTTCATAGTTCAAAAATGGCTCCAGTCGCCAAAAACTGAAGCTCCCACAGTTCCATCTTGCCGGTGGCTGAACAGGACACCACAGGTTGTCCCCGATACCTGGGGCTGGACTCCGGTGGATGCGGATGCCATGTTGCTTTCAGCAGGGGAGATGGTATACCAAATATGGATCACTCGGTTTTCCGGAAAATATTCTTTGAAATATCCATCGGTTTTGTTGGGACAATCTGAAAACCGGAAAACCCAAAAATGGAGTCCATGAGATGTTTTTACCATCTAAGATTAGTTGGGGTTTCCGGTTTCAATTTTCCCATCATCCAATGAAATATGAAAATATGGATCTTGAATAGAATGGATGGGAGTTCAGATGATTTCAAGATTTTCAATGGAATATCCAATGGTTTACCCATGGTTTTTACCATCGAAATCTTTTTCTGAATGGAGCTGCGAATTGGAATCTTGGCTTCAGCACAGCTAAGAATGGCTTAGCCGTGTTGGTTAATGAGAATCATGTGAATTCTTCATATGATTCCTGGTTCAAACGTCTTCTCCAATGAAGTGCTTAATAATATTGATAATGGTTAAGAATCGTTAATAATGGTTAGTGGCGGTTAATAATGGTTGTTATAATGTGAATTCAATTCTCCATATGTTTTTTGACGTCACCTCGTCACCAGCCATCCACCCTCCGAGGCGCCCGAGTGGACAAGAAAAACTTTGGTGGCCGCAGAGTGGAAGCCTCGGCACGGCCAGGAGGTACCACCATGGCTGGCTCATCGAAAAGTAGCTTAGAACCTTAGAACCCAGTTGAGAGTAAGTGGAATCATCAGCTGATTGTAACCATATAACTACCATATAACCACTTACTGCATTGTAACCAGATAACCATAACTAGTAATATAACACTGTAATGGTTATATGGTTTTAATACTAAGTAACCTTTTAGGCTTACTTATCCTACTGCATTGTAACCATAGAATGTGGGATGAACCATCTATCAGATTTTTGAGATCTGTGCAAGGGCTATGTAAGTGAATATACCTCTGAAATATGGCCATTGAGTTTGTTGAACTACTCCAGGTGTTTATTATGATGGGAAAAAACGTGTCGTGTTTGAGGGAGTTTGTTTTAGATTACATGTATGAATTGGAAACGGGATCGTTAGTGCCCAACTTTTACCACGGCAGCGCGGTATGACTCAAGGGCCCTAAAGCCAAATGTCAACGGGGGCATGTGATCACTTGGCTATACAAAATATACATTAGACAGGTCAAACTCACACTCAACCTGTTCTTCAAGGGTCACATGATGCTAGTGAAAAAGTTGGCTCTAAGGCTTCTTCTGTACACGGTAAATGCACTCCTTCAAGACGCGGATAATGAGGTCCGGGCGCATGCTCTTGGTCAGAGCATCCGAGACCATAGTTCCTGTAGCAATCCAGGTAACAATGTCTCCTCCGCCATGATGCATATCCCAGGTCCTCCGGCCGTCTTGCCAAAGTGACTCATGAGTCGACTGCAACTCAATGCCGAGTCGTTTGTCTGCGACCCTGCCGAGTACCTCATTCGCAAGATGGTCTGTTAGAGACCTGCAGTCTGAAAGCATCAGTTGTGGAATACAGCTGCGGCTGTCATCCAACCATGTTTTCATCGAGTCAAGTTGGCCCATCAGTTCGGCCAATGCTCCACGTAGCTTGTCACCGCTCTCTTGTCCAGCC